GTCAGCAGAAGCTGGGGCCAAGGTGGGAGGCTGTGCACAGCCAGGAGGCAGAGCTGTGGCTGAAAAGGGTGTAGAAGGTCGGGAAGAGGAAGAAAGCCACGGCTGAGGCTGAGGCGGTGCCGGATGAGCAGAAAATGGCCACAACCTCCAAGAAAATTGTAAACCAATCCCCTTGGTTGGTGGAATGTGTGGGTTAAAAACAATCTGTTCTAAAGTGAAGGAGCACCTAGGATGGCACGTGAGCTGGGCCCACGCTGCAGTTTGGAAATGTGTAAGTGGCCATGCGTCTATTCAGGCATCCGTGCATGCCCATATCCATCCACCCATCGCCCATCAGCCCATTTTTCCATCCCTCCCTCCAGCCACCCATCTACCCACCTATGCCATTACTACCTCTCTATCCATTCAACAAACATTTTCTTGTGCACCTACTGGGTACTTAGCCTGGAGGGGCAAATAGGAACCCAGAAGAGATGCACATTTTCAAGGATTCCACAGCTTTCCGTGTGAGACACAATAAATAAAGCAGCAGTCACGCCCATTATGAAGGCAGCTGTGACTAGGGGGAGTCAATGACCTCTGGGGACATGGAGGAAGGCGGGGGATTGAAGGAAGGAAGTGAAGGTCTAAGCTGGATCTGAAAGAGGGCAGGAGTGAAAGGAAGTGGGGTGGTGGGTAGAAGCAAGTGTTCTAGACAGAGGAACAGCTCGGCTCTGGGGTCAGCCAGTGCTCACATTTCCAGGAACTGAAAGCTAAGTGGTATCAGGGTGCAGGCTAGAAGAGGCAGTCCAGGCAGGAGACATAGAAGGAATTTGGCTTTGTCCTGAAGGCAGTGGGGAGGCCAATCCCTGAAGGACCTCAGGAGGGCAAAGCCTTGCTCAGAACTATGTCACCAGGCTTTAGAGAGGAGTCACATTGCAGGGGCAGCCAGGAAGCTGGGATAAGAAGGGTACAGGCCAAGGTCCCACAGAAGACACAGTTGAGCATGTGGACGGGAGGAGGAGACGGTTCAAAATGCCTAATGCCACAGGCCTTGCCGATTGGCTGAATGTGGGCTCCAGAGGAGGAGAACCTGGCAAACGCCTGTCAGGAATGGTGGACTCATCACTGAAGTGGGAGAGGGCCGTATTTGGAGATGAGGGGTGGAAACCGCACTGGGGACCCTCACATCTCAGCCAAACTGGCCCTGATCTCTGGTCCTCAGCAGGGCAGGATAAAGCCAGTTGCATCTGCTAGAGGATGAGGCTGAGTGGACAAAACCAGGATCTGCTCTGGGAGGCCTGGGGAAGCCAGTGCCTCAGTGGACACTGCTGTGACCTGGGATGACACTTGTGGTCAGACTTCTGCTCCTGAACTGTGGCAGTTGTAGGGTGCAATGGAAAGCGATGAAGAGCTTCTGCCCCAGCCACCTGCTGCCTGTCTGTGACCCAGCCCCAGCCCCAGGGAGGGGCTTGCTCCTTTGTTTTAGCGTGAGGGGCCCAGACTCCTTCTTGCCAAAGCAAGGTGGGCGTTGACACCTAGGGTTCTTCTTACCTCAAGGGTCTCCACTGAGGCAGCAGCTGGAGACTGGGGCAGGAGGGGACTGTGCATTGGCAGGTGGTGTCTGGCCTGCTCAGTCAGAGGACCACCAGGGCCACTTCCTTCCCGCCACACCCCATTCTCCTTCCACACTCTGCTCCTAACACCACTGCTGCAGCCAGAGCACCAATGCCCTCTACAAGCCTTTCTTAAGGCCACCGCCTCCCCAGGCAACGTTCCGCACTTCCCATTTGTCCCATCATCATCCAGGCCTTGCTCCCACACTGGGATTCCAGGACCCACCACCCGGAAGGTCCCTGGGAATCTGTGTCACTGCCTGGGGAAACAGAGGAGGATTAAATCTGGTTAATCCCTGATTAGGAAACCACCTTACAAATGTCCCTGGTTTTGCTGTTCCAAACAATGCTGGGAGGTATCTCTGCCTCTGCTTCCTTCTGCCCTAAATTCACCAGGCTGAGATCACTGACAGTCTGTCCGCATGTGCCTGGCACTGGACGGGGTGCTGGGGAGGCCCTGGTGCAGGGTGAAGTAGCCACAGTGTTGGCCTCACTGTCTGAGCCTTGCATCAGGGCTGTTTCCACACCAAAGTTCCCACTGATCTAATGTATCTTCCCACATTCCCTCCTGCATGCCTTTGGCTTGGCAGTGCCCACCCCACCTTGCTGCTATGAATACTGCATACTAGGCCCATGCTACCATCTCCAGGCAGCCTTTTGAGGTCTGCAGGCCAGAAGCATCCTCTCCCCACCCTGCATCCTAAGTCTCAGGTCTGTTCCAAACCCTTCCTGTGAACTCCTCAAGTGTAAGGCCAGGCCTCTGTGGGGGGTGGGGGGCACCCAAGCAGCAGTACCACTCTGTCCCCCACTGGTCAGGCAATTGGACCAGTGCTAACCCAAGACCTTTTGCCCCTGCTGCTATGACCGATCCCTAGAAGGACAGGGGAATTAGGGTCCTTCCAGAGAAAAGTTTATGAGTGGGCAGCAGACAGAGAGGACCAAGACCCAAGAAGGGAAGTTCCCCAGAAATGGAGGTCAAGTCCTTAACCACATTGGAGCAGTCCATTGCCTAGAATAGTAATTAGGCACAGGTAGAGGAGCCCCAAGAGGACTTAGCGTGTGCCACTGGGCAGAGGGCATAGGAAAGTGAGGTCGAGGGCAGCCAGCTCCAGGTTGATCCTCCTGGGACCCAGGCCTCCTACTGCAGGCCACACCCACCTGCGTCTCCATCCCAGCCCAGCCAGCATGGGTGCACTCTCAGCAAACTCACACCACGTGCAGGGTCTCCTGGGGATAGGAGCAAGGGTTCAGGCAGAGAGGTTAGAGACAGAGATGCCGCCCAGACTTTGGCTGGGAGGTACAGGGCTAGGGTCTCTAGCCGCTGATGTGATTCAAAAGAAGCAGAGATATAAATGCTGGTATGAGAACCACCCAGGAAAGAACTCATTTTTCCTAGACCTGCCATTGGCTAGACTCCTGGAAACAATTTAGAATTCCCTCTACTGGGAAAGTTGAGCCCCAGAGAGGGTCTATGAGCTTCGTGAGGTCACACAGCCAGGTGGTGGGACAGGATCTTGTTCACACAGACAGGAACTAAGGCAGACCTGCCTTTCTGAGGGACCCTGCTGGGGAACAAGAAACAATGTCTTGTCCTGATATGACCTGCTCCTCTCCTAGGTAACTGAGGATGGATGAGATTACACTCAGAGTCCTGCCCTTGGGAGTTGGGTTTCAACAAAACATCAGTACTTTCTCATCACTGTTAATGAAAGTTTAATAATGATTCAATGATTATCACAGAGCTGACCCCAAGAGAACCAAATGCACATAACAGCATGGAAGTATCATTCTCAGTGCCACTGGTCCCTCAGGGACAGGGGAAGCTGGGCCCAGACTCCATATATCACAAAGTCCAGGCACCTCTGGGCCTCAAGCTGCTCTGCCAGGCTGCTGCTGCACATCTGGAGGCAGGCAGAGGCTCCTTCTCCTTTATTTATTTATTGACTTATTTATTTATTCAGGTGTTTTGAAACGGGGTCTTACTCTATAGTTCAGGCTGGCCTTGAATTTATGGTGATCCTCCTGCCTCAGCCTTCTAGGTGCTGGGATTATAGGCCTGTATCATATCTGACCCACGGGTTCCTTCTAATGCTCTGTCCCTTTGGAGCCCTGCTGGTCAGGGGACTGATAGGTGTGCAATGACGCTCTGACCTCGAGTTGCACAGAAAGTTCCAAGTTGGGTTCAAAGCATACCGAGCTCTGGGAGGAGCCTGATCAGAGCTTTAGGTGGACTCTGCCATGCAGCGTGGCATCTCTCAAGCATCTTTCCATTCTGCAGGCATCTGAAGTCTGGGGCATGGGGCTCCCCACCCATTGAAGTTCAGTGCGAGTGTGGACTAAATGTGCTTAAAGCCCCGTCTGGAGAAGGAGAAGCAGCTGTCTTTCAGGGCCCTTTGAGCCTCAGGCCTTTCTTAGAGTTCTAGGGCTTGGCTTCTCTGCAGAGCAGCTGGGCACCTGAGCACAGTGGTCTACAGCCCCTCGGGGGACTCTCCTAATACTCCAAAGCTCTTGGCTCTCCTGACCTCTGATGCTTGTCCACCCTAACTGTCCCCCGGGCACCGGGCCCCATTGCTCACCAGCACCCGAGCAGGATAAACCCAGTGCAGGACGGGGGCCTCTTGGTTCTGCTAGTAGAGGAGAAATGTCCCCTAGAAAAGAAGAAGTGTCACTATCGTGTCCTTGGACAGATGGACTCCACCTCTGTCCTCAGTTCAGTACTCATTCTCTGGAAAGCCACAAACATTCCAAGACTGGACTTCTACCGAATCTCAAATTCTGTGAATTACCCTGGGGCCGGAAGGCAGTGGGAGGCAACTGAGGCGGGGCACGAGCTTGAAGAGGTTAAATATGTCGCCCCCAGCCTTGCCACCATGCTCGTCTCTGCCAAGGAGACAGATCTGTGCAGAGAATTCATCCTAGCTCTGGTGCCATGACGTCCCTGCAGATGCTGTTCCTGGCCGCCCTGCTCCTGGGCGCTTCTCTGCAACACAGCCATGCAGGTGAGAGCCAGCCACAGGTGCGGAGTGTGGGGCAGAAGTGGGCCCTGTCTGTGCCCACAGAGGACACTGGGGCTGGAAGATGATGACGGTGATGATGCTGCATCCCTGCCCTTGGAGGCGGGCTTGGGGTGGGACACCGTGCAGCACATCTGGCACTGTGACTGGGCCTGCAGCGCAGAATGAATGATTCTCAGAGCTTAGCATGGATTAGCATCTGTTTTATTAATGGGCTTTTATGCATTGAGGGAAGCAGCATAAAGACAGGAGGATTGGTTCCAAGAACATGGGGAAAAAAGAGGTTTTTATATTCAGGTGGGAAAGGAAAGTTAAAACAAAGTTGCTGGTTATAGATGCACCTACAGATATGTGCACAAACACACAGGACCCCCTCAGAGGCCTCACACACACATGCACAGAGACACAAAATCACCCATCCCACAAATACAGCATGGAGATGCACAGAGGCAGTCACCACATGCAGATACACAGACAGACACACAGACAGACACCCTTCCCCTAGATGCTCAGACACCCACTCCTGCTCTCTCTGTAGCTCTAGCCACCAACGTGGGGCGAGAGTGCTGCCTGGACTACTTCAAGGGAGCCATTCCCATCAGAAAGCTGGTGAGCTGGTACAGAACCTCAGACGAGTGTCCCAAGGACGCTATCGTGTAAGTCCCCCTCGGCGGCACCTCTACTCCTGGGGCTTTGGAGCTCCCAGGACAGCCATTGGGGAGACAGGCAAGAGCCCTGACCGCCAGCTCGGCCCCTGGGGCAGCTGCTGCAGTCCACACTGGGATACCCAAGGAGCTGCAGGCCACGTGGTCCAAACTCCCTGCTGACTTCTGGTGAAACTAAGGCACTGGGAGGGATGGGACACTCCAGGTCATGCAGCCAGCCAGTGATCTCCGGAGCCGGAGCCAGGTGGAGGCCAACTGTCCTCACAGCCCCCTCTGGTACCCTCTGTCTCCGGACTCTAGGGAGAGTGGGCACAAGGTCTCCAGCCCTGACCCCTGAAAGCTGTACTCAGCGGGGAGTGTGACTTTCACTGAGCCACAGCAGTCAGATGTCCCAGGGCTGCCACTGCTGACCAGTGTGGCTCTAGGCAAGTTCTCACCTCTTGGAGCTTCTGGGCAGTGGTCAGCCCAGGGCAGGCAGGCTGTCTGGCTCAGACCCCTGACACTTCCCTCTGAGCAGGTTTGAGACTGTCCAGAACAGGCGCATCTGTTCGAACCCTGAGGACAGGCACGTGAAGAAGGCAGTTCGACACTTGCAGAGCCGCAAGAAGTCACAGAGAGCCACTGCCCAGGACTGATGGACTCTTTGGACCATTCAGAGTCTTCCAGCATCAGTGTTCAGGCCCCCAGCCCTGAGCTGCCTGAGGAGTCACAGGGAGGGGGAGGGTCACCTTCTGAACAGAAGCAAGGGACCCAGAGATCCCAGAATAAAGTCTTTCCTCATCCATCTGATCTGGGTCATGTGTTCTGTCCCCACAGTGCCAGACACCCGTCCCCTCTGGGCTGACACTGTCAGGGTCCGCAGAGAGCATCTGATCCTGGCCAGTCTGGGTCAGAAAGGAAAATAAGGCAGACAGTGAGGCATGGCTGCTGCAGACCGCGCACAAGTGAGGGGCACACCTGACAGGGAGGGTGGAGCTGAGCAATGCAGGACAGAACCCAGCAGCCCCAGGCTGGCCCCTCCCCTGCTGGAAGGTAGAGTCCAGGAAGGCCAGCTGGTCTTTTCTGTCCCCAGAGTCACCCCCGGACCAGCCCCTAGCCTTCCCCGATGCAGGACTGGGAACACACGTGGCTCCCTTTGTGTTTTGGATTCAATTGTGGGCAAGTGTTCCCAGGAGCTTTCGAGTGCTGGGCAGTTTCCTGGCTGGATGGGGAATGGGGGAAGTATCCTGCAGCCCCTGGCCCATCTGCCCCAGTCCCCAGTCCCTCAGCACTCACTGCACTTCAGCTGACTCCAGAAAATCTCTGGGTCCTCTCTCTCAGTTCACTGCAGCATCCCCACTGCCAGCTGAGTTGTGGGCCTGGATCCTAGGTGGCTTCCTGAGCACCAGGACTGTGCCCCGTTCTACTCCTCTAGCGCCCCCCACTGTATTCCCAGGGTCTACCCCCCCCCCCCCCCCCCCGCCCTCCTCTCCTTGTAGGCAGCCCCAGGATGGCTCCTCCCCACCAGTCCCCATCCAGTCAGGCCCAGTGCTGCCCCACTCTCACCCCTACTCAGGCTGCCTTGAGTCCCTCGTGTGGGCTGTTCTCTCAGGCTTTCCTGGCCAGCCTGGCTGTACCTGTCAATCCCAGCTCCTGCATCACACTGGGCGCTCTGCAAGCCAGAGTCCCCTACCCCCACCCAGTGCTCTGAAGGGGGAGACAGGAGCCTCTTCCTAACCCAGCTCAGGGCTGGAGCCACAGGGGGCAGTGGGAGAATCATGGGTCTTTGCATTCCAGGACTACCACACACATCGTCCTGCTTCTTTTGGGACAGCCTGGGGCAGAGGCATTGGGCTGATCCGTCCAGTGCTCACTGAGCCCTGCGTGGTTGTGCAGGGCTGAGGTCTGGTCATTTTAATCGAGGTGTTCACTTCCTGCTGCCCCTTGTGGCCATTCATCTCATAGCAGGACAGATGTCCACTCTCCAATAGACGAAAAAGTTATTTAACAATAAAGAGGCAACATGGGAACATCCTCCAACCTCAGTGTCTCTGCGGCATAGGCATCTCTCTCTCCCTTCCTGTCCTGATGTCATCGAGGGGGAGCCCTCGAGCAACTGTAGCTCACTGAGTCCCGGGGCAGCCTGTTTGAGGGCCTTGTGGAGTAGGGTCCTCTGGGTCTACTAGGCAGGAGGGTGACCTAAATCATGAGGGACCCTGAGTTTGAGGCCAGCCTGGGCTACATAGTGAACTCAAGGCCATCCTGAACTACAAAGTGAGACTCTGTCTCAAAAAAATCCCAAACAAATAAATAAATGGAGGGAGGCAGGAGGCTGTCCCCTGAGGCAGTAAGGGAGCTCAACCAGGGACTCTGAATGCTTAACTCTGAACAGAATGCAGAATGGTAACTGCATTGCAGTTTGCCTAAGAGAAGCAAGAACTTCTGGGACTGGGCAGTGCTGGGCCTAGCGTGTGTCGAGGCCCTGGGTTCAATTTCTACAACTGGAGGGAAAAACCAGACCTTCATCCCAAGAAGCCCACGGGATAAACTCTGAAAAGGAGAGATGAGGGAGCTCATGAGGAGCCTTGAGAACCAGAGGGCAGGGGCCAGGTCCAGGCCACTGAGCAGGGCCAGCTGGAGCCAGGAAGCCAAGTACTCGACAGCACTGCCATGATGTCAGGGAGCTGGGGTGAGGTGCTACCCTGTTCCCCCAGTGCATGTGAGGAACTGTGACTTGGAGAACCCCATAATCAGCAAGCGGAGGAGGAAAAGGAGGAGCGAGCAGAGACAGTGAAAGGGCACCAGCTGTACAGTTTCCTCCACTGAAAGCCAGTTCCCTCTAGGAGCTCACCTCCTCCAGGAGGCCCTCCCTGGTCTCCTTGATTGCACCTAACCAGCAATCTACCAGCTCCTCGCTCTCAACTGTCTGATATTAGCCACATGCTGTCCCCCGCCTTATAGTTGCTCAGGGCTGGATTTGGCTAAGGCGTTCACTGGTGTGGGTTTTCAGGTCAGATAATGGAGTTATAAGGGGAAGGAGTATCCTGTGCATGGCGGACATTTGATTTATACATTTGCATCAGGTGAATCCCACAGAGGCACTAGTGGGGAAAGAAACGTCTGCCTTAACTGCTGGGCCCACACATCCTGAAAGGTGAAACTTGGGTCCTTCCCCAATGGTCCACCAGAGGGCGCCATGTAACACAATTCTGAGGTTGCTGTCTGAGGCCAAGGGCCTCAGCACTGCCCCCAGGGATGACATCTGATGGTACCTTTAGGGCAGCCGGCTAGCACTTCTCTGGGAGCAGGGGCCAGGAAACCATGAAATACACTGCCTGGGGATAGCTGGGTACAGAAGAGAAAGGAAAAAACGCTGCTGGAGTTGCAGGACTCCTGTTCTCAGGAGAAACTCAGGCTGTGATTGGAGCACTAAACAGGGGTGGCCTGTGTTTTCTGAGTCTGTTTGGCCATGTGGCATCCATTCATCACAGGTTAAAGGAACGGCTGAAGTTGTTAAGGCTTCTGTGATCCAACTTTCATGGTTGTTCAAAAACCATATTGTAGCTGGGTGTGGTACGAGCCTGTAGTTCTAGCTAATTGGGAGGCTGAGGTGGGAGGGTCACTAGAGTCCAGGAGCTCTGGACAGTGTGCTATGCCGATGGGGTGTCCGCACTAAATTTGGCATCAGTATGGTGCCATCCTGGGAGCTGGGGACTACCAGGTTGCCTAAGGAGGGGTGGGCCGGCCCAGGTTGGAAATGGAGCAGGACTAAACCCCTGTGCTGGATCGTGCCTATAAATAACCAGCCTGGGCAATATAGTGAGACCCCCAAACCCCTTCCACACAACCTGTGTTTAGGGTACTTCACTAGTGAGAATTCCAGAGTTAAAAAAATATGTATTATAAAGCCAAAGGCAGTGGAACATACCTGGAGTTTCAGCCACTTGGGAGGCCAAGGCAGGTCACATGAACCTGGGAGTTTGATACCAGTCTGGGAAATATAGCAAGATCCCATCTCAAAAAAAAAAAAAAAAAAAAAAAAAAAAAAAATCTGCAGGGCATAGTGGCACATGCCTATAACCCAACACTCAGGAGGCTGAGGCAGGAGGATTGCCTTGAGATCAAGACCTGCCTGGGATACATAGTGAGTTCAAGGACAACCTGAGCTATATAGTAAGATCCTGTCTCAAAAACGAGAATCTTTAAACCAATTCTGAATTCAGACCTCCAATTCTTTCCCTTGTGGAACTCTCAAACCGCAAGCCCAGTATTTCTGCTGCCCTGAATCACTCAGCATCTGGAACCAGGCCCAAAGCCCTCTGGGAACCACCCCCCATGGCCAGTCCTAAGATCTCTCCATCTTTCCCTCCCTGCTTTGTCTGCCCTGAAGAAACCTCAGAAGGACCATAGCCTAAGTTTTTCTGCCTCCTGACTGGTTCTAGTGAGTCTCTATGACACTACATGGCTCAGTGCCCTCATGTTTGGAAAATGCAGGGACACAGTCTTCATTCCATGGCATCATACAGTCACCTCTGTAGATTCAAACCCCACAGGTGCATTTTAGCACAAGGGGCAGGGACCTGTTTCCAGTTTTAACTTCATCACTAGCCATGGCCCTTCCCATGCTTGCCTGTCTGCCAAAGCGTTTCTCCACAAGATAGTGAACTTGGGCCTTCCCCGACCTGTACTCCATTGACTGCCTTTCTGCCCCTCACACTGCCCTTAGGAAATCCCAGTCTGAGGAACTGTGCCGTTTCTTCCTAATACCTTGCTGGTGCTCCCCACCTTCTCCAGAGCCAACACGGCAGCCACAGGGGTGGAATACTTGACCAGGGGCAGGCACAGGGCCTTGTCACATGGCGAGTCCAGGGGACTTGTCAGATCTTACACTGGTGTGCTCACTGTGGGATTTTCCCAGCATCCCTCCTCCTGCAGGTGAGTGGCCCAGCAGCAGAGGCAAGCAGCCACCTTAAGTTGTTATGCTAAGTTAAAGAAGGCAGCCACAAAGGTCACACACTGCACGATTCTTTACACACCTTATTGGAAGAAGTGACTCTGCAGTCAGATTACAGAGTGGCGGTAACCAGAGAGGCAGGAGAGGGGACAGGGAGCAGCACTTAACGGCTAAAAGGCTGCCTTCTCCAGGGATGAAACAAGCAGAGCTGGTGATCACACAGTGCAGTGAATGTACAAGATGCTGTTTATACTTTATACTGAGCTACACTTCCAGGCCTTTTGTTTCCTATTTGGAGCCAGAGTCTCAAAATCAGTTGCTAAGCTGTCCAAGCTGGGCTTAAATTTGTGACCCTTCTGCCAATGTTTACTGACTTCACATCTGGAATTTTATTTTTTCACTTCTTGATTCAGATCTGCTGATGCATGTTTTCATCACACATCTTTCTGTCACTTAAATCATCTTCTGGAGCTCCGTTCTTTCTCCATCGTATTTTATACATTTTCAGCACAAAATGTGGGCACAACATTTGTTTCCTCCGTGCAGATGTTCTCCTTCACTTGTTTGTGATGCTGCGATGGAAACCAGGGCCTTGTGCCTAGCAGGCAAGTGGCCCTCGTCTAAGACACAACCAGCCCTCTGTCGCTAATTCTTGGTGTCACTACTGTTCAGCAGCATCTGGGGTGGGGGTGGAGGGAACCCAAAGCGTTGCACTGAGCTACCTCTTTTGTTAAGTTTTTGGACCACTGAGTCATTAAATTCCCCAGATGGGGCTCAGACTTGCAATCCTCCTGCCTCAGCCTCCCGGACTGCTGGGGCTGCCTGGCTGCACTATCTTTGTATCAAAATCCAATGCTGGTTTTACTATTTAAACACTGATAAGACTGTAACGGGGCCAAGTAGTCCCAGGAGGTTCACATAAGCAGGGACAGGACTGCTCTGGCGTAGAAGCACTTTCCTTAAGATTCAGGGTTTATGGCCCTGCATCAAGGCCTGCAGTTTTCTGAAGCTGTTGGTTTCAAGCAGGAACCTATTGTGGTATGTTTTTATGACCTATTTGCCATCTCAGAACTCTACAAATGTAATGGTCAGTTTATTAGAAGGAAACCACCCTACCCCACCCACTGCTGTGAGCCCACTCTCCTGTGTTGTGACCTTGTCTTCTGGTGCATGTGTAACAGAGTAAATAAGAGACCATTAGAGATCATTGGACAGGCTTGGGTGAAGGCAACACAGCACAAGATTTATTATACCTGGGCATAGGCAGACCAAGGGCGATAAAGTTATCAGTCCCAAACAAAGAAAAGCAGGGCTTTTTATAGGGTCTGGGAAAGAGGGTCAAGTGAGAGCAGGTGGGGGGTCTCATGGTGGGGTGCTGAGCACACATCTGTGGTCGAGGTTCTCAGAATGTCTGGTACAGACATAAAGATGTTATCAGGTGTTTGGCACTGCGGTCTCCTGTCCTGTCTTACTTCATGATATCCTGTCCTGTTTGTCCAGGGACAACAGGACTTCTTTGCAGTTTCCTGTCCCTTGTTGATAGCTTTCTGGGGACTGTAGTTTGCTGAGAACAGTGCAGTTGCTGGCAAAGTCATGCCCAGGCTGTGCCTGACAGCATGGAGAGAAATTCTCTAAGACAGTGGTCCTTAAGCTTGAGTGCACTTTATTATCACCAAGGGAAGCGTAAAAATGCTGATGCCAGCTGGATATAGTGGCACATGCCTGTAATCCCAGTACTTGGGAGGCTAAGGCTGGAGAGTCTCTTTGAGTTTGAGGACAGTATGGACTACATAGCAAGACCGTCTTGAAAAGCCAAAACCAGCAGATGTCACAAGCCCCACTCCAGCAGATGCTGACTTACTAGGGCTTTGGAAGGAAGATGACACAAGAGCCAGTTTTGCTTTAGAAGTCATGCAGGTGATTCTAACACACAGCTGGCAGTGAACTACCCAAAGGAACCCCACTAAAGTGTGTTCCCAACTGACTTTACCTGCTACTATGGGGGGCACACTGCTTTTAGCCTCTCACAACTCTTCTGCAATTCACAAAGCAGCATGCCTCTGTCCGGTCCAGCAACAGTGCTTCTAGCACATGAGGTTCTCCCTTCAGCCTGGCTGGGAGCCGGTCACCACTTGAGGTATTGTTTCCACTCAAGCAGCTGCCTCACTCTGGAGCAGTCTGCAGCGTCATCATCTCCCTCTTTCTCCAGCTCCTAGGTGCCTGCTTTTCACCCCTTCCAAAGTTTCAGCTGCCACCTAACCCCAACATGTGGTAGTCTCTGCTGCCCACTACACTTGCAGCTTTTAAGTGAATTCAGCAGGGGGCAGCACCAGGCACCATGGAGTATACCCAAAATCTCAGCACTTGGGAGGCTGAATCAGGAGGATTGCCTGAGGCCAGCCTGGACTCCAAGGTAAGACTGTTTAAAATTACAAACAAAAAGAAAGTGGCCAGAGGGAGAGTTCCAAATGTACTCTGCCATGTTTTAAGATTTTACTCACAGTCCCCTCAGACCTACTGATTCGGAAAGGTCCACAGGTGACATCAGGTATCAGTTCACACTTTTTGGATTTCACGGCACTGAGGAACCAACGCAGGGCCTTATGCAACTGAGATTTGTCTCCTGCCCATCATCTGTGTTAAAAAGTACTCAAGTGACTGATGGGTGCAGGTCATTTCCGGCATTCACTGTTCCCTTCATTGTAAACTGAGGATGCATTCAGGGCGACCCAACAGTTTTGGGCTCCAGCCTTGTCCTCTGTGGGATGACACAGCAGCTGTCGGCACAGTCTCATTAACCACACCCCACAGAGCTTCACCCTCTGTGCCAGCAATGGCCAGGACTCAGAAGAGCCCGTCCTGGAATGCTCTGGCTGGGGATTGTGTTCCACAACTAGGCAACCGCAGCAGAATTACTAATGGGGTCGGCTGGCTGGGCATACGCCACCATAAGCCATTGTGGGGGCTGTTAGTTTGTTGCCATGAACAAGTCACCAGACACTTGGATGCTTCAGACATCCACTTATGCTGGTTTCTGCGTGTCCAGCCCCCTTAGGCTCCCATGGCTGCAGTCATGGTGCCACTCTTATTGTGCAGACTTGGGATATTGGTCCAGCCATGTGTTACTAGCAGGACCAAGCTCCTTGTGGCTGGGCTGAGGGCCCGCTGTCCTAGCACTGTTGTTGAGGGCATGTCCCCACTTAGACCTTGCACAACGTGATAACTTCTGTACTGCCAACAAGCTTTGTTCCCTGGTTCGCAAGGATCACCTGATTGCGTCAGGCTCACTCAAGATAATCTCCACTTTAATCAACTGTAAGTCAGCAGGGACTTTTAACTACATTTGCAAAATCCCTTGCCTTTGCACAGAACCTCCTCTAACCCTAGGAGGGCGATCCCACAGCTTCCACAGGTCTTGCTCAGGGGTGACACAGGGACACAGGTCACTGGAGGCCATCTTGGAACTCTGCCTCCCCAGGCTTCGGAATCCAGCTTCAGCCACAGTCCTAACTAAACTCCACCAGCAGTGACCAGAAGGAGAACCAAGTCAGGAGAATCCAACCAAGCTTTGCAGACACATACAAATTAGCACTTTTATTTACCAGTGAAACAAAAATCTGTCTGCTAAACCCACACAATCTCTCCAAGTGTCTGGAAAGATCAGGTTTGGGTCTGGCGAGAACAGAGTCAAGAGAAATGCTATTGGTTCAGTCCTCCCTGCTCCTCCCCAGTCTGAACTCCTCTAAGAGCAGCTACTTGTAAGGACAGTGCTGGCCCCACTGTGTGGGCCACCAACTCCTCCACAAAGGAGGGCTGCTTCCCTGTCCAGGCAGAGCCCGGATGATGTGGGAACACCACATGCACCTACGTACCCTCTTAGAACTGAGGCACAGGAGTGTACAAGTGTAACACCTGTCAGTGAACAGAAATGACAACAGATGTAGATGGATGGAAAGAGACAGACACACACAGGATGGGCTCACAGTAACCAGCAAGTGACCCCTCAGATGCCCTGAGGTCATGAGACAGTTGACTCAAGTTACTAAGCATTTGCTGACTCATAAGAGCAAGTAGGTGGCAGGGTCACTGAGCTTAGAGCAGGGGTGGCACCTGGAGCCTGTCGCAGGGCATAAATACTCAAGGACAACTGGCTCGAGAGTGGATTGTCAAGTGTTTTACCACGAGATCCTAATACTTCGGGGAACCAGGCCCCCCCACGTCCCAGTCTTCTTGGAGAAAGCAGCACTAATACCACTGTGCCACAGCCTGCCTCACCCGGTCTACAGACTGCAGAGATTTCAAACAGAGTGGGCGAGTCCAGAGGAGGCAGGAAGAGAGGATCAGGAGTGGCTGCAGAGCAGACCTGGCCTTGGGGTCCCTCCTAGGCATCGTGCAGGCTGCTGTTGCTCAGGAGCACCTTCTCCCCGGGCTTGAAGGCTGGCATCCCGAGGTAGGGGCAGCTGGCGCAACGGAATGCATCACCCAGGTAGCACTGTGGAGAGAGAACAGGAAGTCACACAGGGACACCAAGGAGCAGCTCACCCAAGACCCGGGCCAAGGGCAAATGTCCAGATGCATTCACAGGTCCAGCAGGACACAAATACTAGAAGGTTTCAAGAGCTCTAGCTTGGTTAAAATAGTTAACAGAAGGTCCTTGGGGGAATATGTATCCCCCTTCTAAGTCACAGCCAAGCCTGGCCAAATGGCTCAGTAACTTCTGGTCCTGCTCTAGGGCAGGAACAAAGGAGCCAAAAGTAAGAGACAACAAGCCAGGTGTGGTGACACATATTTGTAATCCGAGCACTCAGGAGGCTGAGGCGTAAGGATCACCATGAGTTTGAGGCCAGCCTGAACTACACATTGAGACTCTGTCTCAAAAGAAAAGACACAATGAGGGCCTTCCCTGTGGCAGGGAGATGACTTCTTCCCCATCTCCACCTACACACGTTCCCTTGCATTGGCCTATGCCTGCACCATGTGAATCATGCAAGTGTCTTAGTTTACAATGATGTCCCCAACCACAAGGGGTCACAGAAGAGCTGAAGAGCTGTAAGGTACAGATACTTACGTTTCCACAGGCCGACTTGGGCTGGGAGCTCTTCTGTGCCTCTGATTTCTCCTTCTCCAGTTCTTCCGCTAGGCCACAAGTGCTAGGGCAAATCAGTTGATGCTGAAGATTTGTCACTATCCAGGAACCCCACATCCACTGCAGAGCCAAAGCATGCCCTAAAACTCTTCTCTTTCTACTGTAAGTATCAAGTTAGATGCCTTAGGGGGCCAGCCAGAAAATTACATGCCTGGCTGGTCCTGTACTCTTTAATCATGAAGAAGCTGAGGGTCACCAGGCACTTCAAGAAAGGTTGAAGTTAGGGACCAAACTAAAAAAAAATAAAAACAAAACCAGACAAATGAAATAGAAAGCAGAGCATGATGTAATACTGTAATACTCTGTAGGCTGAGGCAGGCGGATCACTGAGTTCAAAACCAGCCTGAACTATACAGTGAAACTCTATCTCAAAAAACAAAACAAAAACACTACCCAAGGAGTAAAAAACAGAACTTTCAGCAAAAGAGAAGATATCACACCCATGAAATAGCAAACTATAATTTTCTTTTAAAAAGTCAAGGACAAAAAAAACTTAGAATAGTGGGCCACGGATTTAGCTCAGTGGCATAAGCGCCTGCCTGGCAAGCTCAAGGTCACAAGTTCAATCCCCAGTACCAAAAAAACCCAGAATAGTAGAAATAAAATAGTACTGGTGGTTTTGGAAGATAAATGAAGAAATCCTCCTGAAAGGGGCACATTTCCCCTGAAAGGGGAAAATGTGAGAGAAAACTATAGGACCAAAAAATCCAATATTTGAGTCGTAAGTCACTCAGAGAAAATAAACAGAAGGTGAAACTTGTAAACAATTTCTTTTTTTTTTTTTTGGGGGGGGGGGGGGAGAAGTTCTTGCTATGTAATTCAGGCTGGCCTTCAAATCACTATGTAGCCCAGGCTGGCCTCGAATTCATGGTGATCCTCCTGCCTCAGCTTCCCAAATTCTGGGATGATAGTTGTCTACCACCACAGCTAGCTAAACAAAAATTTTAAAAAAATGTCCTAAGGCCACAGACATAGCTTTTTAGACAGAAAAGATACATTACATGGTTAGTGCAAAATATAAGAACAAATCCCTATTCAAGACATTCTGTTACACAATGACAACAGAGATAAAGATTCTACAAATTTCTGAAATAGAGAAAGAAGACCTATGCTGAGGATCAAGATGCTCTAACAGAATGGATCAAAGATACCGGTTAGGCCTCAGATGTCAAAATTAAAAGAAAGAAAACAGAACTATTTCCACACTATAAGAAAATGTTTTCTAAGCAAGATTTCTTGAACCTTAGTCACCAACCATTTATGAGTTAAACACAGATATTTACACACACACACACACACACACACACACACACACACACCCCTAACACACTGGAAAAAAAAGGAAAAATAAAAAATAAAACAAAATCCAAACCTTACCTTCTAGGCAGCCTTTCTAAGAAACTACTGGAGAATACATTCCTCCAACACCATGGGAAAAAACCAAGCAAGAGCACACACGGAGCACAGGAAACAAACGCTAATATAGGTGGGGAGGGACTTGCAGGGAGCAGTGAGGCATACCAGCCCTGTGACACTCACAGGAGATGGACGCCTGAAGGCTGCCACCACCATACTATGTCACTCAAGGCTAGGCAGGTCAGTCTAGTTTCCTTCTAGTTTCCATGAAAAAAGGAATAAAATCTTTCCTACAACTGTGTGCTGACAGCGTCCAATCTTCCACTGCATCCCCGCCACGGAAGCTAGACCTGCTGGGGACGCTTCCTCTTGCTCTGACCCATTCCCAAGGGTAGAGCCTGGCCCACGGCAAGCCTAGAACAGCCCCTCCCTCATCTCACGTCGGCCGCCTTGCAGTCACTGCACCTCCACAACTCTTTAACCTGCGCCAAGCGCACGCACCACACCAGTTTCCTCCAATTCACCCCAGACTCTTCCCATTATCTCATCGAAGGCCTCTGTCCACAAAAAAAAGCCATGACCAATGCCAAGTAAAGCCTCTGCTCAGCTTTCCTTCCCTGGGAGCCCTTATGTAATGTGGGAATATTTATGTCAATTCTTTGTGACACACTGAGGTACTATTTGGAGAGTCACACATGGGTGGTCAAGATCAAACACCTATGAATGATGAACATAGACTTAGAGCAGAAACCATTTGGGGGCGGAGCAAATGTAGCTGAGGAAGCGTGCACAGGTGACATGGGAGGTACCTTTCTGTTTTAGTCTGGGCAGTCAGTACATAACAGCCTGTTGTGCTTTAAAATGCACATGTTTAATTGACTCCTCTACACGACACTCTCACAGTAACATATTCTAACCCAATCAGGCAGTGAGGATTTGAGACTCACCAGTTCTTGCAGGCCTTCCTCTTTTTCCCCTCTCCACAGGAAGCGGCCCGCAGGGACGCAGGATCAGGCTTTTTCAAATCTTCTGGATCCAGCAGCTCATCTGAGTCAATGAGATCCTGGGAAGTATTCAAAGCCATTAGCAACACAGTCTCGGTCTAGTGAATTCAGAGGTTAGGGTAAAGGAGGCACCATCTCTGCCCTACTTTGGACTGATTACCACACTCACCCCTACTGCAAGCTCAAGAGAAGAGGCACTACAGTATGAAAGCACTAGGAGCTGACTTACATGAGAAATAGTTGTGTGGCCCGAGATTAGTAGAGCACGAGTGTGCATGTTGGGGCTGGGAGAAGGAAGTGTATTTCTTTGTATAGTCACATGAAAAAAGGAATAAAACCTTTCCTACATAATTCCAGAGAAAAGGGCAAATATTTATGTGTAAAATTCTTTTTAGGTTTTTGTTGTTTTGGGCTGGAGATATAGCTCAGTGATACAGCCCGTCTGGCAAGCATAGGCTGAGAGCTCAATCTCTGGTACCAAAATAGAAAGAAAAAAAAAGTTTTTGTTTGAGACAGGGTCTCACTATGATGTTCAGGTTGCCCAGACTCACTATGTAGCCCAGGCTGGCCCAGAACTTGTGACGATCCTCCTGCCTCAGTTTTCCGAGCGCTTAGATTACAGTATGTGCGACCTTGCCTGGCTTATTTGTGTAATTCTTTATAAATGTGGACATGACCTACTTTGTTCACCACTCTAGCCTCAGTAATAGAGGCCGGAAACGAAGGACTTGATTATACACAGTGCTGATAAAAGATGGAAAGAGTGCTTTTAACACTGGGAGCATTCAGTGACTTGTCCTGAGAAAGGGACTGATAAAAACAGCCCAACAAACTCTTTTTTGGTTTACACCCTTCCACAAGGGTCTTTGATATATCTCATAAAGTGAGGGACAGAAATCTCTGTGTACAAGATGCCAAAAAATTTTTATGGTGCTACCAAGATGTAGTGTCGTTCTAAGTCATAGGCACAGTGACAGCAAAAACATGATGCTAGGCTTCAAACACACCCACGTGTGCAAGTCCAAAAAGGTCACGCCAGCCTGCAGCTGTCATGCACAAGACAGGATCTGGAAGAAGCAATCAATGAGCACAGTGCCGACTCACCATGCCCTCGTCCTCCATGTCATTGGCTGAAAGGGTCCAGAGCTTAGCGGCAGCAGGGTCCACAGCAGGCTTCACTGAGTCCAACCAAGAAAAGAAGTCCATAAAATCAGCTAGAACAGGCTATGAGCAACATCATACAAGTACTTTCTGCAGAGCTTGAGTGAAGCGGCTGGAGAGGGAGTCAGAGGCTTGGTCTCCACACAGCTCCACCTCTCAGAAAGACAGGACCCTGGGCTGACCGCCTTCACGCACTCAGCAAGTCTGCACTTTCACACTGCTTTCTCTTTGTTATCTTAGTTTCCACTCCTCTAACATGGAGCAAACAGCATCCCTTCTGCTTACTGTAGATATTTTAGGGTTTAAACGAGCAATCTGTCAAAGACTTCATAAGTGACAAAGTTGTAGCCTCCTCTAAATCTGTTATATGAGAAATCAGGCTCTGGAGCTGTTCGTGGCAACATCACATGAACAGTGGCTTCACACCACAAGCTTCACATCTGGTGATTCTCTGTCCTGGTCAGGAGAATATAAAGAGAGAGCAGAGACCTGGGGGCCTCAGAAAGGCCTCCCACATGAGCACCCTCCATGACCACTGTCACAGCTGGATCTCCCAATTTCTGCAAGGCCAGCTACTCATTAAATCTGCTCCTACCTATTCTGGAACCATAAACTCAAAGGCTAGATTCCCAAGAATTTCTTGAAATCTTATGTTGGTCAGTCAAAATGGTGCAAGGAAGATATGCCAGTAAATAAATATCTGTAAAGTTTTGCATTCATCACAGATAGGACCGTAATTCAGGCATTAAAAAAAAAAAAAGTGACAGAAAGGATGAAAGTGGTGGTGAAGGGTGCATGTATTCATGTGCACATGCTAAACTTTCTGCACAGAAGAAACAGTTTAATAAGCATCACAGGACCCTCAAAAGAAGAAAAGTCGACTTTATTGGTGTAGGAAAAGTAACTGTGGGCTGTGTATGGTAATCCTAGCTACTCAAGAGGCTTAAGCAGGCTGCTTCCAAGTTAAAGGCCAGCCTAGATGACCTAGTGACCTTGCCACAAAATGAAAAGATCTTGGAACACAGCTGCATTGGTAAAGCACTTGCCTAGCATTTATAAGACCCAGAGTTCAATCTCAGTACTGCAAAAAGAAAAAAAAACAAAAAACAAAAAACAAAAACAAAGCCCTGCAACAGCAACAGGGCACCAGTATCACAAGTACCATCAGCAGTAGCAAGAAGCATTCTGAGGCTGACCTCTGTACCTCTGGGACCTGGAAAATGTCATTATCTAAACACATGACTCTGGCCTCTAGAGTTAAGAGGCCTTTGGTACAGAAGGGGTTGAGCTAGATAATATCTATGCATAACTGCATCCTAGTATTCCTGGGATAAAATATATTATGCATTCTGTCATTTGGAAATGACAGAAACTAAAGAAACCAATCCTCTAGAAATACTTGGATTGCTGGCTCAATTTCCAACATGTCCTTCCACGTCCATTCACACAGAGGTATGTATATGGGCTGGTCTTACCTGAAGGTTTCTTGATGATGGAAAGGTTGAGCTGACTAGAAGAACCCACTTCAAAGTTGGGCTTTTTGCCTGTGATCTGAATAATCAGCAGACTGTTGTTGTTGTAACCCAGATGTTCCTGGACAGACTTCACCTCCCCAGGGCTCAAGGGCTCCCTTTGCAGCTGGAATTCAAGATATTAAGGGATCACACAGGGTTAAACATGCATTTTGGTGTCTTAAATATATAATAGTAGAAAATAACAGTATGTCACTATTCACATTCAGTTGCTCATTCATCAGAACCCTAGAGGCTAATCTCATCAGCATGGTAACTTTGCTCCAACCATTGGTAACTTTTAAAGGATTTATGAATTATTAGGTACAAGATACCTAATCATTGTGAGGGCTTAATGATTATGATTGTAGAGATGTGTCAAGACATGGTCACAATATCTAATAGAAACACCTCACAATGAAGATAGTGGAACTCTTTAACCCAAAGGAAAAAGAGAGAAAAGATATATTTTCTTTGTTCCTTGAGAAGTTATAGATAGTAGCAGGTTCTGTGCCACTGAGCTATATTGCCAGCTTACACTACTATATTCTATAGTATAACTTGAATTTTTACAAACATTGTTTACTTAGAACTAAACACAGAAAACTTTAAAGGAAAAGGAACCATAGGTATAAAAATCTAAGGCATTACATCACATAAGAAGAGGTGTAACAGTTACCCTAGGGCAGCACATACTTTTTCCCACACCCAAGATAAACATCTACAATTCTGTTTAATTCACACACCTCCACTGGACTGCTGGAAATGTGATTTCCTCCCAACTTAGCTCATTCTCCCACAAAGAGTGGGAGGCTGGTCTAGATGAGGTGTTTCAGTGGGCCTAGATTTGTGACCACTGAGATGGGGCTGAAAAAGCCTAGCAGCTGCTGTCCAGGCCCTGCTGCTGCACACTAGGGAGTTCCGGACAAGCCACCCCAAGTGACCAGCCCAGTCTCTCCAAAGATCTGCTCCCTGAAGCCCTTCGATTCCCTGTCTGTAGCATGTGTGGGCTTGCTTCCTAGTCCATGGCAACATTCCCGTCTGCTCTGACAGACTCTAGTTTGTCACCCAAGGTTTAACACAGCAAAGAGGGCTGCCTACACATACACCTACCTCCTTCACTTCCACAAGACCAGAAAGAGTCAGGGCTGAACACAATTTAGATGCCGTCTTCATTTTGCTATTGTTGACTGCCAAGAGGAAAACCCCAATTAATAGCTTTATAGGTCAAAGCAGGAAAAATAATTAAGGCTCTATCCTGTGTGAGTCAAGAGGTACTCAAATAATAACTGTCCTATCTTTTGTGTACAGTTTAGTGAAAGCATCTGAATTTGAAACGTCCTTTCAGCTGTTCAAAGTGCTCTTATCTATGCTCTTAAACATTACAATTCCATTGTTTCTTATCACTCCTCCCTTCTGAAGGATGCTAGATAATATTAGAAACTGCAAAGAGCAGGAAATACAAGTATTCTTCCTATAAAGTTGCTAGACACTGTAGTTAGTTATTCAAAACCTAAATTTCCAGTGAATACTGATGTCTCCAAACAATTCACAAGTTTACAGTGCCACATAAATAACAAGCATCTTTGTACATTTCAAAACACTTGCGTTTCTATTGCTTTGATGAAAAAAATGTCCTATTTTGATTGAAAGTATTGTGAATGACTTTCTAATAGCTATACCTTTAATTCTTGGACACTGTCATTAGTTTCAAATGAATCAACAGCTATCTCAGCACTCTCAGACTTCCAAGCATTATTCTGAAATAACTGTAGAGTCACAGAAAGTATACACATGCAGAGACACACAGACAAGTTCAGAGAAGTCCTAGACCCTTCATCTGATCTTCCCCAATGCTACCATCTCTCAAAATACGCAGAGAGAGATACTAGAATACTACCCTTTGCTGCCAGGCACTTCCTCTTTGCCATACCTAGCCCATGGAAACTACTAACATGACCTTCTTTGGTACTATTTCAAAAATATGAATAGGGCTGGGTATGATGGTGCACACTTATAACCGCAGCACTCTAGAGGACAAGGCAAGAGGATCACTGCGTTCTAGGCCAGCCTGGACTACACAGTGAGCTCAAGGCCAGCCTGAACTACATAGTGAGACCCTGTCTCAAAAAAACCAAAACCAAAAAAATAGAATCATACAGCACAAGAACCTTTTGAAATTTTTTTTTTCTTCTCTGTACAATTCTCTGTATCTAACAATAGTTTGCTCTGTTTATTTATATTGAGACAGGGTCTTGCTATGTAGCCCAGCTGGTCTGGAACTTGTGGCAATCCTCCTGCCTCGGCCTTATGAATGAGTGCTGGAATTATAGGCTTATACCCAACTCAACCCTGTGAACTCTTACCTACAGCTGTCTCTACTGGCTCTTTCAGAAAAAGACACCCTCCAGGCCGAAGAATCCGGGCCATCTCCGCCAAAACCTCAGCACTGTGCAGAGTAGTGCTTCCTGGTACTACACCCGACAAAATAATGTCAAAGCTGGATTCCTTGTGGGCAGCTGAAAAGAAAGAAGACTCTAATTAGCAATCACCTAAGCCTAGAAGCAATTTCCCAAGCTATCCCAAGCCTCCACAAAAGCTATGAGCTCCTACCTGTTTAGTAAACTCTATCAAACCATAAGATGCAGCTCTGCCCTGCTCTCAGTCTCACTAATTTCAGGAAGAAGAACAAACTTTAAAAAAAAAAATATGCAACAGCTACTAAATAGCAAGAACATACTTACAGAAATCAACTACACTCTAAGTCCACTGCATTGCACCTGAAAAATAACTGATAAGCCACTGCTTTCCTTATGCCATCCAGAACAAAAACTCAGATACCAAGGAACTACAGACCCAGTACCTCTCATCAAAACCCCAATCCTGTGTAGAGTGTGGGTAAAACTTACATTGCAGCAGCTGATCGATATTTTCCACAGACACTCGGTCCTCACTGCCAGTTAACCCTTGAAGTTTATCCACCAGATCTTTCAGAGCCTCCGTGGGGGTTGACTTATCCCAGATCACTGCCACCAGCTGGCCAGCTGAGATCCCGAATTCTGCCATTGCTGCAGTGTTCATGAGCCTAAAAGCTACTGGCCAAAAGAAAATCATGACTGAGCAGAGAGAGTGCAGTTTAATCTGGGGGTATCAATAAATACGATTAGAATCACAATCTACTTTCAACCTCCCACCATCGAATGCTGATGACATTAGAGAGCTTACTATAGATGCTAGAGTTTAAATAAATGAACCTATCACCCCAGGGTTTCATAATCCCAACATTCCTCAACAAGGGACATGGCTAGAATCCTGACACAGTAGAGTCAAGAAAAGGGATAGTTGAGCTGGAGATGTAGCTCAGTGGTAGAGCACTAACCCTGGGATTGATCCCAGCACAGCAGAAAAACTGAAGTAAGGTGGGAAGGTGGGGTTTAGAGACAAGTAAGGTTAGAAACAGATTATTTCTTCTTTGAAGTAACTCAGCTTAAACAATATAAAACACACAGGGCCATTAATTAGGCAGAAGCATGACTCAGCAAGGAAGGCAAATAACCTGGCAGATATAACCCAAGCACAGCATAAAAATTTTTAAAGACACAGCACATTTAAATTTTGCAAACTAAATACTATTTTCTCTTTTATAAAAATTCAACCAGGTATGGGGACATATACCTATAATCACAGCACTCGGGAGGCTGAGACATGACAACTGCCATGAACTGCAAGTCAACCTGAGCTACCTAGTTCAAGGGATCTGAAGCAAATGATACTGTGCAAGTGACACAATCAGAAGATTTATGAGGATAAAGTAAGGAATAGAATTTGAATCGCAATCTATCTGCTCATGAAGTCCATGTTTAATATGGAAATTTTACCCTGTGGGTCAACTTTGATGCACAGGAGAGTATGTAAAATGTTTACAATGAAATTAGGTCCATAGATGCATATTGTTTATTTCCTTCCTTCCTTTTTTCTTTCTTCCATCCCCTCCTTCTTTCCTTCTTTGGTTATCTGAGACAGGACCTTTGCTCTGTAGTGCAGGCTGACCTTGAACTCACTTCTGTAGCCTCAATTTCATGGAGATCCTCCTGCCTTAGCCTCTTGAGTTCTAGGGTTATAGGAATGCGCCAGCACAGCCAGCTTCTCCTTCTCTCTTAAACACTAATGCTATCAAGTGTCTGACTAGGTAAAAGAAATGAAACAAAGACACAAACAGTGGTAGAGGGTCACACACAGATTAATCTCATTCTGAACACTTCTGATTTCTGCAGTGATGGCTGACAGTGACTATATCACCACACACACTCTGGATCTAAATTTGAACTGTATATACTACATTCTTCCTTTTTAAAAAATGTTTCCTTTAATTCACTGTCTCCTAGCTCAGCATTATGGGACAGGCCTATAATCCTAGCACTTTGAAACTAAAGCAGGTGGATCTTTCTGAGTTTAAGGCCAGCCTTAAATAGCACAAAGCAAGCCCCTATCTCAAAACAAAACAAAAAAACGGAAAAACAAATCACTGTCTCCTCCATCTACAAGCTGGAGTCACCTTTTTTTTTGGTGGGGGAAATGGGGGCAGTGCTGGGGTTCAGATCCAGGGCCTTGCACACACTAGGCAAGTGTTCTACCGCTGAGCAACACCTCTAGGCATTTTCAATTACTAATGATTTTAATTCTTAGAGCAAAACTAAAACTTCTTAGCCTGAGCCAAGCATGGTGGCACATGCCTGTAATGCCAACAGTGTAGGAGGCTGAGGCAGGAGGATCACAAATTTGGGCCCAGCTTGCCAACTTACCAAGAACTTGCCTCAAAATAAAAAGGGTTAGGAATGTAGCTCAGTGAAAGGCCTTAGCTTCAATCCCTAGCTGAACACATGAACACTTTCGCCTGCTAGATTCATAACCTAGTCCAATATTCACACACAAATCCTTGTTCTAGGAAAAATCTATTTTCACTACATCATGCCTTTTACCTTTATGTAAACAACCTTTATCAATCCCAATCTGACTACAATTCCCAGTAAAAGGATACAGGCAGGGCTGGGGATTTAGCTCAGCGGCATAAGTACCTGCCTTGCAAGCAGGCGGTCGCGAGTTCGATCCCCGGTACCGATAAAAATGAAAAAGACAAAAAACAAACAAACAAACAAACAAAACCCAAAAACAAACAAAAGGATACAGGCAGCAGGCAGGCAGGTTTAAATAGTCATTTAACTTTGGATTTTAAATCCTTCAACCATCATACACTGAAAACTGCAACTTTTAAGCTTTTAATTATCACATGTCAAAAAAAAACCTCTTGCAAAATCTTTAAGAGCAACTTGGGGATCAATCTCGAATTTAAAAAACTGCCAGCTTGCTAGGAAGATTCCCCAGGGAGCTACAAGAAGCTTCCTTTTCCATAGAAGCAGGAAGATTACACTTTGACATCTTAGACAGCACCTACCTTCCCCATGACTGTGCCAGTAAATTAGAAGATTGTAAATAAAATGCCTTGCTTTCATATCTCTCCGCACTAATCTCATCACTACAGGGAACTCACAAAATACACTTATTAAATATCAACTCCCCCCAAATACAGGTAGCCCCTACTTTCAGTCAGCATTTTTTAAGTAAAATAAGAGACACTTCTTTTAAATTTTTAAAGTGAAAGTGTGATACTTTTCACACAGTATCACAGATCAGAGTTTTGTTTTCTTTTTGTGATTCTGTTAAAAAAAACAAAAAAGAAAAAAATGTCCTGCATCTCAGCAAATATACTTAGGAGCTGTGACTCAGGGTCCAGGTTTCACAACTAAAAAGAGGTGATGTCACTTCACTGACCTTGTTTGTCAGATACCTCTCCAACTGATTACTGCATATACTTATCCACTGCTCTTATAAAATGTTACAGGCAGACAGTAAAAGCAGATGTCTGTGAACACCACATGCAGATGCACTTGTTTATTTTTAAGGTGCCCAAGAAATATTAAATCTTGCTTCCTCCTTGGAAGGGAGGGGATGACCAAGGCCTAGGGATGTAGCTCAATGGTAGAACACTTACCTAGCATATGCAAGGTCCGAGTTCAATCTCCAGCATCATACATGTACACACACACACACACACACACACACACACACACACGCACATGCGCACACACAAGTAGCCAAAAGTTAAAAATAAGATTGAAGTTTGAATTTTAGTTCAAGTTAAGGATCAAATACTTTTAAATTAGGTACATAAAAAATTCTCCAAATATTGCTAGTTATCAGAAAGTGAAATTTTAATTAAAAATTAACAAAGTTTACATGTCCAGAGTGTGAAAAAATTTTTTTCAAAAGCAAAAGAATTGACAGACTGGGCAGGTGGTTAATTACATTTATGTGACGATGGGGCTAGAGTATAGTTTATTGAGGTGTATCCCACCTTAGCGTGTGCAGAGCCCTGGATTCCAACCCTAGTGCCAAATATTAGTTTCCACAGGAAAGACCTACTCAAAGCTTCATAGGCACAACTCAGAAAATAAAGCCTAGACAGGCACAGTGGTACATATCTACAGTATCAGCTACTAAGAGGCTGAAGCAAAGAAAGTCAGAGCCTATGAGTTTGAGACTGCTGAGGTAGGATACAAGTTGGAGCTTCACCTGGGCAATTAGCAATTGTTAGACACCAGCTCAAAATGGGGGTGGGTAGGTAGCAAAGGGAGACTAGAGGCTGAGGCTCACTGCAAAGCTCCTAGGTTCAATTTCCAGTGCTGCACCAAATAAATAAATCTGAAATTTAGAGAAAATTTTGGTTCAGAAGATCTTGCCCCACGCACATGCTGGAGATCAGTTTGTATGGGAAAAAATGTGCAAAATAATTTTAACAAATAAAAAGATAAGTCTTCTCGGCTGTGGTGGCACATGCCTGTAATCCTAGCAGTGGAAGGCTGAGGCAGAAGGATGGTATCGAGTTAGAGACCAGACTGGGCTACAAAGTGAGCTCAAGGGCAACTTGAATTGCAGTGTCTCAAAAAGACCAAGCAACAACAACAACAAAAAAACACCAAAAATCAAAACGGAAAAAAAAAACAAGAAGACGACATCTAACTTCAAAGGCATTTACAGAATTACACGGTCCTGCGGCCAGTTATCCCTAAACCAAAAAGCCATTTACTTCTTCCTATTATTATGCCTTCCCTAACGGTATCCCAAAGAGAAGCTACTCTGCATTTACATTTCAATTTAGAGACAATACCCTGACCTTCGCGGGCCACCAGGTCACTCAGAAATGCCGGAAACAACGAAACCAGCCTCTCCCAAACCCCACAAATCCTACAAATTATTCGGAGCCATTGTTAGCTAAAGCAAGATTTCTGCACCCACCTAGACACTGAGTCAACCCTTCGGGACAAAACCTGGATGTTCATTTTATTAACAAGCATCCTAAATTCGTCCGATCGTGAAAGTTTAGGAAATACTCAATACGACGGAGGTTGGCATAAATCCTAAATTCAAACTTACAATCTGGGGGTTCAGATACAGCTGAGCTTTTGTACTGTGCTGTACGGGCCCCTCCGAGATCGAAACTTCTGAGAAATTGAGACCCAAGGTCACAACAGCTGGTTTAGGGCGGGACCGAGTCCCAGACCCGCGACCCAGCGGCTCAGCTCTGGGCTTTACCCGCGCAGTGCCCGAAGCCGGCTGCTCACGTACCGAGGCAGCCTAGAAAGGACAGAAACTGCCGCGTCAGGAGCCCGGGGCAAGCACAGACGGCGCGGCCCCTCACGCCGGGTTCCCCCGCACAAACCCACAGGGATTCTCTGTCGGAATGCCGAAGCTACGTCCCTAAGAGGGACAGAGCTGGGAAGAGAAAATGGGGAGTATGTAGGACAACAGTGGGCCGAGAGGAGACCGTCGAGAAGGGGTTGGGGACTCTCAAGTCGCCCAGAGTACACTCACCTGCCACCAGGTTGCCTCCTGGCCTCGCTATAACTACCCTCTCGGCGTCTCACGGCTCTCGCGAGAGAAGGAGGCTCCGCGGAAGGGGGCGGAGCCAGTACTGTGGCGTCCTAACTGTCACGTTGCCGTCGTCAGCGTGGGTGCCCGCTTCCAAGATGGCGGCGGTAGCAGCAGTGGCTGGCGTTGTAGGCCGGGCGGGCTGGAGGCTTCTGCAGCTGCGTTGCCTACCTGGTGAGGAAGCGATCGAACCGGGGAGAGGGGAAGGCCGGGGAAGGGGTGTGAGACCGGTCAGAGGAGGTGCGGGGCGGAAGAAGCTTATCCTGGCGGCCCCGAGGAAGGTGAGGTGAAGGGCGTAGCGGACTGGAAGGAGCCGGTTGCCCGGCTTGCGTCCGCATTCTCTGTTAGGGGCTGGAGATGCATGGCTTGGCCTGTCACTCCGGTGTTAAGCGGTAACTAACAGCTTCAGAGAGGGCTTTGAGTGCCCAAGGTCACACAGGTTGCTGGTTGCAGAACTATCACAGACCCATTATCATTGATCACCCAAAGGACAGTTAGCGTCCTATCTGTTATCCCAAGTCAGTCCTGTTCGCTGCTGTTTCATTAATATTGTGACATTCTTTTGCCATTTTTGCTGCTATACACTCGGTATTTTTGTACGTCTGAATATCCTAAAAATAGGCATTCAGTTAAAGAGGAAACTTTATATTACTATCATAAATAGAAAACTAGTATCACCTTCCACAAACAGAAAGTGCTACGCATTGACTTACTAACATAAACATAATGAGATAGTCTTGTATTTCACTTAAATTTTGGGGCAAGATGTTACTAAATTGCACACAACTCTCACCTACTTTAAGAAAGATCAAGAGTGTGTTTCTTAAGCATTAATTCATACTGCTTTCTTCTTCCCTAACATTATATCCTAAAAATGTTCAAACATACAGACAAATTAAAGGAGCTGTGAACACTTGTAAACCTACACTAGCTTCAGAACATCTATTATGCCATTCATTAGTTTGATATCTGACGTATTTACTGCAGATCTTAATATTGTTTATCTTTAAACATTCAGTATATATATATATCCGTAACCAGAATTCACTATTTACTTTTTCTTTTTTCTATACTGGAGAGTAAACCCACAACCTCATGCATGCTAGACAAGTGCTTTACCATTGAGCTATATCCCCCACCATTTACTGTTCTTTTTATTGAGTGCTGTTATTATACAATGAAATACACAAATCTTATATTAAGTTGTGACAATTGTATGCACTTGCATATCCTGAATTCTTGTAGAGACCATTGTCATCACCCAGAAAACACTTGTACCTTTTCACAGTCATTGTTCATTAATAGTGTGCTAAAAAAAATTTTTTTTTGATACCAAGAATCGTACTATACTAAATCTTTAACCATACATTGTTTAGTTTGTCTTAGTTTTAACCTGTCCTAGGATTTCATCAAAATGTATTTTTTCTGTAAGACTTCTTTTGCTTAGTGTGTATATATATATTTTTTTTTTCGATTGGTCTATTTTTTTGTAAATCAGTATATCTAACAAAGAGTTTCTCCTTGTCCAAACTCTAGTCAGGCTCTTCTTGCCCTATTTTTTTAAAAACTGGTACATGTTTGTAGTACATATGGATTACATTCATCATGGAGACTTGGTATTTATACATGAGATTTCTTAATTCTTTTTTTTAAACCTCTGCCTCTCTCCTCCTTCCCCCTGTCTACATCTCTTGTACCCTTTCTCATAATTTTTATACATGCTATAGTACATAATGATCACCTTTCTCATACTGTGCCCTGTTCTTAACTAGGCCTTAACCTCGGCTTATAAAGATTTAAGCACACATTAATACGGTTTTGCTCAAAGCAACCTCCCTAAAATGACCCTAACTCCCTTTAAAGTTACTGCCAAACTGGGTGTGGTGGTACATGCCTCTCTGTGATCTCAGCTACTTGAGAGGCTGAGGCAAGTAGATCACAAGTTCAAGTCCAGTCTGGGTAACTTAGCAAAAGCTCTGTCTCAAAAATAAAAAACAATAAGGGTTAGGGATGTGGCTCTGTGCCAGGCACTGGGTTCAAACTGCAGTACCAAGAAAAGAAAATAAAATAACACTCTATGGGTTGAGGTATATTACCACACAGCAGCCAAGTAGAAACAGGCTGAGCAGCCAGGTAGGTGTTCTGATTTGTGGTTCACCATCATTGACCACAGGTGCCACAGGTCTACCCAAGATTTTTGTGTGGGATAAAGGTTAGTGGTTCTGAGGAGCCTCTGCCCTGCATTTTGTCCTGGTTTTTATTTCCACTCTTCAATCTTTGGTGAATTTTCCGACTGACTAGTCCAGTTTCTGTTGCAGTGTCACGCTGCCGACTAACCATGATGCCACGTGCCTTCCATGCTTCAACTGTGCGACTAAGGTCGTCAGAGGAGCACAAGCAGCCACCTCCCCCCTCTTCTTCTGGACAGCATTCTGAGACACAGGGTACAGAAAAACCTGATCCAGAACCTCCTCGCCCACCCCCCAGGTAGGTGCCAGAACCCCAATCCATCCATTTGTGGCCAGTTTGTCTGCTTCGGTAACTGTGTCTCCTACACTTCCTCTCTCCTTTCCATTACCCTACTCTAGTTCCATCATTTCCAAGGCTATCCTGTCTTCATAAAAATGCTTCCTAAAACACTTTTATACATCTAAACAGTACTGAGAAGTTCACAAAAATAGGACAAAAATTACCTGAAATCCTGCACAGGGATAACCCAGCTGACATTTTTGTGAATATCCTCTTAAATGCTTCTCTGATCATATTTGGCATATAAATGTGTATGTAATAAATGATTAATTACATGCTATGGGTGTCCCACAGCTTGTTATTTTGTTCAACAGTAATATTTTTAATGTTTTTTCATAATTTACATTATTTTAGTGGTTCTACAACATTGCAGTAATGAGTGGGCCAAAATTTATTTAACTTCTCTTACTGATGAACATTTGTATTCCTTCGTGGTGTGAAGGGTAGTGTAATAAAGTGTATGGTGCTCCTTAGCAGTGGGAGTGCGGAGTCAAAAGATAGCTGATTAGCTAGGCTTGACTTAGTGGTTGAATGCTTGCTCAGCGTGCACAAGGCCTTGGGTTCAGTTCCTTGCGAGAAGGGAGGGTAGTAAGGTGGGAAGGAGGGACAGATGAAAAATGAGTACATTTAATGTTTTGTTACATATGTGGAGCCAAATTTGCTGTTAGATTTGTTATTTCTTAATCCTGCCACTAGAAATTAAATGTTCTTCAGTGTAAAATGAGCTCATTCATCATCTTTATCTGATTTTCTAGTTAAAGTACTTTTCAGTTCAATTCAGCAAATGGTTTTTGAGGCTCTACTGTGTGCCTGTCCTGTGAATAATGCAGTCATCTCCCCTCATGAGAAGGCGGGGTTACAGTCTGGTGCAGATTACAGATAAGGAAGCCCTTGAGTACAGTGTGCCCTGGGGGAAACCCAGGACCCAGGGCATTGGCTTCATATGACTGTATGGATTGGCTCACTGGGTGCCCTCTCCCTACCATAAGGTGGGAGGACAGGATGCCAGTGTTTTCACTGGCAGGGAATGTCCATACTGACTCAGGAGTTAATGTGCTTCCCTCGTGTGCTTAGAGAAGACCTGGAGCCTCAGGTTTCACTGAGTTTGGCTTTCAGACAGTAGACAGTGAGACAAGTGTGGGGCCCTCTGTCTCTGTCCCAGGTACACAGATCAGAGCGGGGAAGAGGAGGAGGACTATGAGAGCGAGGAGCAGCTGCAGCACCGCATCCTGACGGCAGCCCTGGAATTTGTGCCTGCCCATGGCTGGACAGCAGAGGCAATTGCCCAGGGAGCCCAGGTGTGTGTAGGTGAGGTGGGGCAGCCTGGCGAGTGTCAGCCAGGAGTCAGACGATGCAGCAGTGTGCTTCTTGCCTTCTTCCAACCCAGCCCAGGTGCTCCCAACCACAAGATTGTCTCACTTTGTTTGGTTGTTCAGCTTTTTTGTTTTCTGTTCTTGGTGGGGAGGGAGGCCCAATAGGGTAGAAATGGGATTATTTTTTAATTATAAAAGGAATTGGTTCCCTTTTTTTTTTTTTTTTTTTGATTCCTTTTTTTGAGACAGGGTACTGCTGTGTAGCCCAGGTTGGCCTTGAACTCACTATGTAGCCAAGGCTGACCTCAGACTCACAGCGATCCTCCTACCCCAGCCTCCTAAGTGTTGGGATTACAGGTGTGTGCCCCTATATGTGGCAGGAACTATGTTCTAAGAGCCTTTTAGGCAAGAAATAGCTGTAATCAAAATTACCATATTTCAGCCGAGAATGGTGGCACACACCGATAATCTCAGTACTTAGGAGGCTAAGATGTGTAGATTGCTGTGAGTTTAAAACCACTGTGAGCTGTATAGTGAGTTCAAGGGCAGCATGAATGAAATAGATTGTGTTTCAGAAACAATGTACAGGGGCTGGGGATTTAGCTGAGTGGCACAAGTACCCGCCTGGCAAGTGCATGGTTGTCAGTTCAATCCGTGGTTCCACAAACACACACACACACACACACACACACACACACACACACACCAAAAAAAACTAAACAAAAATAATGTACATCATAGAATTAATGAGATACGATATTTGAAAACCCCCAAGAGGGCATCACCTAAGACCAACACACTGTATTTCTCTCAGTAAGTCTGACAGCTTTTGCTCCTTCACTCCAACAGACTGTTGCTGTAGGTGAGGCAACAGGCTCTTGTTTAGACCATAAGTACAGAATCATCCAGATACCTTCTGAGAACAGCCTGAGGGAGGCGCAGTCACATCTTATTCCCTGCTTGCTGCAGGGCATGTTGCACAATAGGCAAATTTACTGCCTTTTTAAAAACAACTCTTACTTGTCTTACTCCTCCAAAGAGTACAGATGGTAACTGAAGTCATGCTAGCAGAGTGTGTAAATGTTGACTCCACTGTATGCAAACTGGACTTGTACAAAGGAATATAGAAAGGAATGTAAAAATAGACCATCTGTGATTATTCCAAAGACTCTAGTATCAGTCTGTTCTTTCAATTAAAAAATTTTACTCTTTAAATATTTATTGACCAAATAATTTGCTTTGGGCATTTGTGCTAGGTACTAAAGACATGACAGTGGTCACGACAGGTACAATTCCTGCTCTTGTGATGCTTCCAAGAGTCACAGCATTAATCAAATGTGTACTATATGTACTTCTAAAATGTGGCATGTGCTATCAAGAAAAGGTACTATCAGGACATGCAGTAGAGCGACCTGATCTAAAAAGGCTGAGAACTGAGGAATGAGTTGGCTTTATCTGGCTTGGACAGGGACCCGGGGGCTGGACAGATCCAGATAGAGAAGCCACATGTGCAAACTGGAGAGAAGTGTGTGGTGTCAGGAGAAGCAAATGAAACCATCAAACACAGTGAAGGAAGAGAGACTTGAGACAAGTAAGACTGGAGAAGGGTCTGTGGAGGCCAAATCTGACAAAGCACTAAAGGTCGTGGAGGCAGCCTTTCGTTCTAAGACTGACTGAAGATACCGTGTTGAGTTTTGCGTCACAGTGTTGCTGAGTGAGTGGGAATAGATGGAGCTGGAGAGAATCTTCTGGGGCTGCTGTAGTCTCCAGGAGAGATGAGGCTCTCTGGCTCAGAGTGATGGCCCTGCAGTAGAGACGGGGTGGGTTTGGTAGAACTTTGGACATGGGACAAATGTGACAAGGTGGTACCAGAGTTGCCCATTTACGTGTGTGGTTCATGGTGGTGTTTCCCTGGAGTAGGCCCAATGGAAGCAAGCTAGGTTCGGGGATGGGTGGTGGGTACAGTCTTGATCTTTGTTGCATATGAGTCTATGAGTCAACTAAGTGGAGGTGTCAACCATACTGGTCTGCATATGCAGGAGATAGCTGACTAGAAGTAGACCTTTGGGCACTGTAGCATTTGTATGTCACAAACTGGAAGTAAGTTAGATTGCCCAAAACAAGAGTATAAATAATGTGATAAGAGGGGATTGTGGACCCTCAGGGAACTCTCACATTTAGAGGGAGAGTAAAGCAGTGAGCTGCCAAAGAAGATTTTTAGAAGTTTGTTATTGTTGGAGGCAGAGCAGGGGAAGTGAATGAAGCAGCTTCATATTGGTCCCTGTAGCTGCAGCCATTGGGGTGGAATCTGGGGTCAGGAACTAGTTGCAGTAAATGCAGGCATGAGGAAAAGGTGATGACATGTGGAAGCGTTTGACTGGAGGGAGCACCCAGGAGGGGAAGAGAAATGGAGGACCAGTGTGGTGAACACCCCTGGAAAGGGTTCAGAGGTAAGAGAATGAAGATCTGGGGGGAAAACAGGCGAAGTCAAAACCTTGGCGTTCCCTGGTGGCAAGAATTATGAGATCAGGAAAAACAGGTGGAAGGACTGACCATGACATATTAGGCGCAGAGCTGCAGAAGCCAGCTGTGGGTTTAGGTAGGGGAGATCCCAGGGGGTGACTGCTGTTTTTCTCTCTGAGGTAGGAGTGGTTGCCTTGCGAACCTGAAGCTGGGGGAGGGAGGAGGCAAAGCCTTGAAGGTAGGGGTGAGGGTTCTAAGAGGCATTACAGAAGGCGGTGGAACAAGTAGAGGACAGAGATGTAAACAGATTGTGAGAAGAATCATGATACTGCGTCTTCTGCTAACAGACCCTTCTCGCTCTGCATATCTTCTGCCTGACACTTACCATCTTTATTCAGTTTCCATGTTTAATGTGTATTTACTGAACCTTAGTTCATAAACATTTGAATGTTCCCCTTTTTTTGTATTAACCTGTTCACACAACATACTTTAGTACACTTTTTATTCATTTCTTTGGGACATGTTTCAAGAAGGGACACTCAGGGTTCAGTCAGGAAACAATAACCATACCAGTTTTGGGGATGGAAGGTAATATAAGGAATTGTTAAACAGGTATGAAGCTGGTAAGCAGGTAATAGGATGGAAAGAGTAAGATACTGTAGAGGAAGCAGCTGCAAGAAGCAGCTCCAGCCTGCTTGGCTGAGGAACCGAAAGGGATAGTAGGAGTAAAGTAAGTCCTTAACTTCCAGATGAGTTCCATTTGTTCTTATGTCAGATTTGGATTTGGATTAGGCTTTGTCCATAAGCCGACATGAATCTTATACAGTACACTTAGGAGGGGACTTACTGTATTCAAACAATGCTGGAAAGAAAGTCCCAAAAAGAAGAATCTCAGGCTCATGTGGAGGAGACACTGCTTAGCTGGCGCTGGAGTCCCTGTGCTTGGAGGGAAGAGACCCTTCCCTCCAAGGGAAGGGTCAGGACTGAAAATGGCATCCCAAGGTGGCTTGGGACTGCCACCCAGTTCAAGAGGGAGAGCTGGGAGGGTGAGGAGAGGATGGTGGTAGATGAAGTGAGTTCTGCACGTGTTGGGAAAACTGCAGACTGAGTTGAGCTGTTGCTTTGGCGTGAGGAAGGGGTGAAGCTGAGGTGCAAGGTGAAGAGGGATTGATACAGTGCTGCTCCCAGGAACCTCAGCGAGCAACAGGAAGGAGCCATTGCCTTTTTCCTCCTCAGCCCGACACTAGGGACCCTATGGCAGAGCTTATCAGGGGAGCCAGAAATGCACTTCGCACACTCCCAGCCCCGGCGTCACAGACTAGCCTGGAAGGCTTGAGAACTTCCTAACTGGTCCAAGAGTAGATATATTCTTGAGGTTCTTTTTATATCCTTACCAAAGGCACCTAACCTCATGGATAAAAGCTTGAACCCCAGATTTCTCATCTATAAAGTGATAATAATACCTACCCCACACAACTGTTGTGATGATGCAGGTGCTAGCGGATGCTTGCATGAGGTAAGCATGTACTCCCCATTAGTGGTGATCCTGTAGCTCTGTCCTTCTGCCAATTTGTCCTCTATAAAAGCTACATAGTGGCTGGGGATGTAGCTCAGAGGTAGAATGCTCACCTAGCATGCACAATGACCAAGTTCAATCCCCACAAAAACAAACTACAAAAACAAACAAAAGCTACACACTTTTCCAAAGGAGGGTTAGTTTCCCCTCCTAGCAGTAGGAATTCACTTTTGCTATATTTGTGTTCCTTTCCTGCCACCTGCCCCTGCTGCCGTTGCTTCTACTTCCAGTAGATTCTCAGTAATTGCTGTGGATCAGGACTAGCAAAAGCTTTCTATGCTCTGTTAACTCCTTAACAACTCATTAAGAAAGCTTTGTTCTAAACACTGAGAAATCCAATGTTCAAGAAATCCAGGTAAATTGAATGGGTCAGGCAAGGCATCCCAAGTGCTCTCCCAGGGCCCTGGTGCAGGCTCCAGGTTTCAGATACCAGTGCTCACTATTGCTTACCTGTAGTAAAAAGGGGATGTTTGGCTCCTGTAATGACAGAAAAGTCTGGAAGTAACTCTGGCTCAGTGCTCCTGGATTGTGCTGCCACAGTTTCTGCCACTTCTTTTTGCTTTCCTTTCCAAGCTTCCCTCAGTGCACATGTCCCATGCAGGACTGAAAATGGCATAGCAACCCCAGTGGAGAGAGGACCTTCCTTTCAGTGCTAGCAGGGGTCCCAAGGTACACTCCTAAGACCTGACCTCAGTCATGGGCCCATCCCAGAACTAGTCATTCCACTCTGGTCATACAAACCTGGGGCCCATGCTTCGCACACACACCTCTGGAGCTTGGTGGGTATTGGAGGGACTAGTGGTAGTCAGCTTCACCAGAATCACTTGAAGGGTGAAGAGTGGGGGTCTGGAAAGAGTCCTATCCCTGCTTCTGGAAGAGGCATATTGATTATTGGGCAACAAACATCCACAACCCCTGCTCACCACTCTTCTATTTTTTTTCCCTCCTGCTATAGTCTCTGGGTCTCTCCAGCGCAGCAGCCAGCATGTTTGGGAACAACGGCAGTGAGCTCATATTGCATTTTGTGACCCAGTGCAATGCTCGGCTTACCCACATTCTGGAAGAGGAGCAGAAGCTGGTGCAGCTGGGCCAGGCAGAGTAAGTCCTATGGCTCAGGGTGGCTGAGGAAGGGAGACTCCAATTACAACAGCTGATCCCAGGAAAACCAACCCAAACAAAGCCAAAAGTGAGTAGCACTAACAGCCTCGCTGTTTGGAAGGGACCCAGGAGCCTGTGTGGCAGCTTCAATGAGATCAGTGTCAGGAGCCAGTGGGACCTGACCCCCCAGGTTGAGTAAGCACTGCCACACTGAGCCCCTGCCTGTGACCCAGAGACACTTTTTCTTTTCCCTCATCCAGGAAGAGGAAGACAGACCAGTTCCTGAGGGATGCAGTGGAAACCAGACTGAGAATGCTGATCCCGTACATTGAGCACTGGCCCCGGGTACAGAGTCCATGTGCAGGCCCAAGAACACCAATAATATAATATTTCTCATTCTCAACACCTTTCACTCAGAGGACTTTGCAGACTGTTGACAGCTTAGCTCACTAGTCTCCAGAAACCCAGGAATGTGTGATACAGTTGATAGAGCGAGGTTTCAAGCTTGTGTGTGTAAATAGAACAACCTTAAGCTATCAGTATCTCAATTCCTGGATGTGTGAATGGCTGCACATCTCAGATGAGGGTCCAGTGGCCTGAGTATGCCACTAGATCTTCCACATGGACGAATCCTTGGAAGAGGTTAAAATAGGCTGAAGATTGTATTGCCTATCTTACTTTATCAGTAGCCCCATACTGGCTGGGTATGGTGGCACACGCCTATAATCCCTGTACCTGGGAGACAGGCACAGGATCACATGGGTTCAAGGCCAGTTTGAATTACATAGTGAGACTCTGTCCCCCTCCAAATAATAATAACAGCCCGTTTTTTATCTCAAAGATGGGGACTTCTTGTCAAATTGTCATTATGATCCTTGGATAAAGGAGTATTCACCCCATGAATACTCCTTTTTTTTCCTTACTTTCCAGCTTTTCTGAGGGTTTCTTTTTCAAAGCATGTGAGCCATTCCTTGAGTTCAGAGTCAAAGCATGTCATAAATGAGAGGGACTGAAGCATTCAGTGTCTTCAGTCCAGCTGGGAGATTCCTGTGAGATTGTAATTTCAGTCTTCTGGTTGACAGATACCCAGGCACTTACAGTGCACCTGACCCCAGCTAGGTGTGAGAGGAATACGGCCTGAGTCAGTCCTGCCTCTTGCAATTGAAGCCCTGGAAATGTCCATATCAGGCCCATGCTGCCTTGCCAATTCACGATTCATGCAGTTTCCTTCTGGGCTGCTTTGCTAAGAGAGAACTTCCAGCCAATCCAGCTTTCCAGACCACAGCCCCTAGATTTTAGCACTTGTAAAGTGATACAACGTGGGCTTATCAGGCCAGGTGGTGCTGTGTCTGCTAATAGAATTGTCTGGTTTGTGTCATTGATAGTATAAATTGAAGGATTTTTACTCTCAGGAAATAGATGTCAACTTGTATTAAGCAAAAGAATGGGGAGGAATTTACTGTGATACTGTAGTGGTATACCCTGGGCAGGATTGCTGCTGGACCCTGAGGGTAGCCTTGTGTGTGGTTCTGAAAGCCACTCCACAATCCCCTCCCTTTTGTCTTCTCCTGCCCTCTGCTTCTAACTGACAGAGTGGCGTGCTCTCCCCATGCTTGTCTTTAGGACTCTAGAGCAATCCAGACCCTTTGGCTGTCTGCAGTCCCAATTCCAAATAGTAGGGATGGAGAATCTGACTGGGCCAGCTTAGGACAACATATGACTTGGCTCCCATCAGCTGTAGTCAGGGTCGTTAGCTGCTAGGAGTTCACACTGTGGGGGTGGACACTGGGTCTCAGAGAACCAGAGCTGGATTGTCCTCCTCCCGTACTCTGTGGAGCCACTTGTGTGTTGTTACCTATGTACAGAACCCCTTCCTGTTACTCTTTCCATAGGCCCTCAGCATCCTGCTGCTCCCTCAAAACATCCCACCCAGCCTAAACCTGCTAACCAGCATGGTGGATGACATCTGGCATTATGCTGGCGATCAGTCCACTGACGTGAGTGTTTTCTTCAGGCTCACTGTACATCGGGAAGGGTCTGAGTTAAGCATTTCTTCAAGAATTTCGTGAAATTTCTTTGATCACAAATTGTCACATGTTGCATTGCCATCTAAGGTCTGAGGAAAGTCCTTCAGTAAGCTGAAGTGAATCTGGGTCATCTTCACTCAGAAAGAAGCATTGTAGCCACAAACTAGTGATTATTCCTCCCACCTACAGTGGCAGCAGGAGACCTCAGGGCCCGTTATGATTGTGCTGCTTTGTAACAACTGTTTCTTCCTCTTCTCCTAAGATCTAGATTTGCCGCAGAATCCCTCAGCATTTGTCTTTGCTGAGACTGACTTTTCAAAAAGCAAAAAACCTTTCTTCTAACAGAAACTGCCTTCCCCCACCCATCATGGCCTACTTTGTTAAGTGATCAATAGGTTTTTCTAAATAGGTATGGGAAATGTATCTGACTTGTTAATGCTACCATGTTTCTGGTGGGAATTAAAAAAACAAAGTACACCTTCATAAAAGAAATTAAACTGTGATGATCTTTGGGGGATCCAAGATAAGGAGGCATACAGATACTTCCACTACACTTAAAACAAAGTGCTTTAATAAGCTTCTTCCATGTGGGAATATACCACCAACAGAGATGATAGGAAAACGAAATTAGGAAGCAAAGAAATTAAAGAAATAAAACACCAGGCAGCTGAGCTGGTCCTCTGAAGGGTAGTTTGCCAGGACTGGCAGAAGTCGCAGAGGGACTTGAACTATTACCTCTGCCCAGTTGTAACCTGTGCCTGGTCCTGCCTCTGTCCTCACCTGATAACAGGCACATTGACTGCAACTGGCTAATTGCAACACCTTCCTGGGACTCAGATGCCCTAGGACTTGATCTTTTCCCAAGCAGTTCCAAATGGGTTAGAGGTCCCCAGATCACGTGGGATGCTGATTCAGCATCCTGATATCATTCAGGCCCATTGACTATAAATGCTAGGGGTTAAGCCCAGGGGCTCAGGCGATTCTGATGCCCAGCTAGGTTTGAGACATTGTATCTTGAGAGAAAAATCAGAAGGGAGTGTGGGAGTCACGGAGTCCTTGGGGAGGAACTACCTCAGCCCCCCCCCCTCCCGCCCACAGAAGCAGTAGTAACCTGCTTTTCTGACTGTGTTTCCTTGCAGTTTAACTGGTATACACGTCGAGCTGTGCTGGCTGGCATCTACAACACGACAGAGCTCGTGATGATGCAGGACTCATCCCCAGATTTTGAGGACACTTGGCGCTTCCTGGAAAACCGGATTAATGATGCAATGAACGTGGGCCATACTGCTAAGCAGGTAGCTGGGGACTAGCCATTTGCAAACCTCTTTAGTCAGCATACCCATCTTCAGGCCACAGCTGGTCACCTGACTGATGTCTTGCTTCTTATGGCCTCAGCTGCCAAGGGCCCTTCTGGGGAGCCTGGCTGGTTTTTCCTCATACCAGCCCTTCCTTAAGAGCCGTGCCTTACCCATTGTGTGTTGTCCATGGGTAGCTCCTTCATCTGTACTCCACTTCTGGGGCCACATAGATTTCCTGATTTGTCCCTCTCCCATCATAGAGCTCAGGCCAGGACCTAAGGGAATCTGACCTGTTCTCTTCTAGGTGAAGTCCACTGGAGAGGCACTGGTGCAAGGACTCATGGGTGCAGCAGTGACAGTGAGTACTTCCCAGGCTACCCCCACCTATCCCCATCCCACTCTGGCCCTGTGAAGCTTATTGCATGTGTCACTGACCCCACATAGCTTGTAGCCTTAAACCGAAAACTAATAGTAAGACTGACACTGGCTCAGCCCCAGTGTCAGTCTTGATTCAGAATGCCCTACCTTGTTATTTTTTACTGATATCAAGAAACTTCACTGATGCCGGGCGTGGTGGCTTACGCCTGTAATCCTAGCACTTGGGAGGCTGAGGCAGGAGGATCGTTGCAAGTTTGAGACCAGCCTGGGCTACAAAGTGAGCTCAAGGCCAGCCTGAACTGCAAGGAGACCCTGTCTCAAAAAAAAAAAAAAAGAAAGAAAAGAAAAGAAACCTCACTGCTTCCAGAACTCAGGAGTGTCATAGCCATGCCTGCTGCCTTGCAAACCTCAGTCTTTCCCAGACAAGGCTTCACCACTCTGTTTCTCTTTTGTGTCAGCTCAAGAACCTGAGCGGTCTAAACCAGCGCCGGTGAGAAGGAGAATAAGCCAAAGTGCCTGGAAGAAAACAATCAAGTAGATTTAACGGGGTTTGAGAAGTATGAAGCAGCTTCCATGGAATATGATGTTAATGAGCACACACTGGAGGATTCCAGAGACACTCCCACAGCCACCTGGAAATCACAGGGCACTTGATGCTGCAGTTCTAGCCTGGCACTGGTCTACCTTTTCAGTTCCCAATAGCAGGCCTGACCTTCTGATGCTTTTGTGTATTGCAGCCATGTGACTGAAAAATATGACGCATCAAAGCCACAGGAAGCTAAGCACACTGCTGTTGTGGTCGGACAGGCATCCTGATCATGGCTTAACTGCCTTAGAAACGCTCCCAGGGTTCCCAAGACAGAGCAAAGATCTGAAGCTGCCACAAGATGGCAGCTCATCCCCAGCACAGCACAGGCATGAGCACAGTTCCTGGTGCTGGCCTAAGCAGCCTCTCCTGTGGATCCCCTCAGAAAGTTGCCTGCCTGAGACAGGTACCCTCTGGGAAAGTAGTGTGATTCAAGTCCTGTCATCACATTACACCAATATGCATTGAAGGTTATCAGTGTATTTAGAAATAAAAAAATAAATTGTAAAAAATAAATATGTTTGAAGCAGTTGCCTATTTTGTAGTTTCTGTCTAGTCCAAGATAAGTATCCAGGACCCCTGTGGGAGGCAGCAGTGTTAGGGAAGAGGCTTGAGCCTAGCAGCCCAGAGACCCACGTTCTGGCCCGGGCAGTACCTGAGGGGCAGTGATGGTAACTGCATTTCTGGCTCCAGGTCTTCCCATCCATCACGAGAAGGCAACAAACCAGGGTCTTTCAACCGGACCATTAGCCCTCCTCACTCTCTTCTCTACTGCTGACCGCTAAATGATACATTCTTCTTTTCTTACCTTACTGTGCTAGGGATTGAATCCTGGGCTGTATTCCTAGCCCCAGTGATACATACTGTAGTTTATTGGCTCCCATTTGTGATTCTGGTTAACTTTGTCTTCTGCTTGTCCTAACCTACCTAAATCAGCAGAGTATCAGCAAGAAGTCAAGAGTTAGAGGAACTCAGATTTCTTCGGGGCCTTCCACTAGGCCCTTTCCTTGCCTCAGATTCTTTGTGTCTCTTGACACCCTATGAGGTTCCTGCAGTACTATTCCATATTTCATTCAGTCTTTCCTTTCTCCATAGTGTCCATCTCATTAAGCAGATGACTGTAATTCATAACTTAGTAATCACAGGCAATGGAGAAAGGGTCCACTCAGTGTCCCTGCCCTAAGAGGAGAAGCGCTGTCCCAGGAAGACCTGTCACTCCCGGCTACAGCTAACTCCTTTCTATGGTTACTTTTCTGGCACTTAAATGTAACTCCTGCTGTGTTGTATTTAAGGGTCTCTTTTCAACTGCCACTTGTTAGAGGCCCATTTAAACTCATCTCTTATGTTTTCTCCTTTTTCTCTTTTTTTTTTTTTTTTTTTTTTTTGCTGAGGATTGAACTCAGGGCCTTTACACTGAGCTACATCCTCAGCTCCTCCCCCTCTCCCTTTGAGACAGCTTGTAGTTCAAAATGACTTTGAATTCACTATATAGCTCAGACTGGCCTTGAACTCACAGGGATCCTCCTGCCTCAGCCTTCTGAATGCTGAGATTACAGGTGTGTGCCACGATACCTGTCTACCAGCTCTTTTTTGAGATGGTCTCTACTAAGTCTCCAGCAAGGCCAGACTTGAATTTCCGATATTTGTGCCTCAGGCCCCTCTGAGTACTGGGATTACATATGTACATTACCATGCCTTGCTTTTTGATAGAGCATACACCCTATGTGGTGCTCACTACCAGACACTGAGGATGCAGAAATGAAGAGCCCCCTTCCACAGCAACTACACAGAACTGCAGATGAAGCATTATTTTGAAGAACATACCTTTTCCTACAGTTTTCAGAAGCACATCATTTAGACATAAAGGGTGGATAGGAGAGTTTATACATCTCAAGTTAAAATTTGCTAAAAGTTGCATACATTGCTAAGTGTGCTTTTATTTTTCCATGAAGAGGTACATGTAGGTACAGCTTTACTTCATTCTTTCTAAAGGGTTTGTGGCATTTCTATGTGTAAATATTTAAGCAAGACTCTCATTAAATAAAATTGTCTTATAAGTTTTATCTTTTGCCATTACAAACAGTACTGGAACAACTGACTGCGCATTTGTCACGTTACTTTCTAAGATAGTGGAACCTGCACTGGGAGTCTGAGGTAGAAGCATCGCTGCGAATTCGAGGCCAGCCAGTCTTACATAGCTCAAGGATAGCCTGAACTGCATAATGAGACATTGTCTGCAGCGGGGGAGGGTTGGGAGATAGTTGAACCTGGTGCATTTTGAAGCAGGCAGGTTAGAAAACGCTGGCCTGGGGCGATCCCGGCCTCCGAGAGGCAGGTGGCGCTGCGCCACATCTGGGCGGAAGTCGCGAGGGCCGCGCAGTCTAACTTCCGGTAGCGGCGGCAGAGTGGAAGCGGGAGGCCCGGAGGTAGGGAGGCCCGAGCAAGATGCCTTACGCCAACCAGCCCACGGTTCGGATCACTGAGCTCACCGACGAAAATGTCAAGTTCATCATAGAGAATACAGACTTGGCGTAAGGCGGCTGTGGGACGGGCTGGGGGCTTCGCGGGGCCGCAGCTGGGTTGGGGAACCAGAGCCGCCTTCCCTGTGCTGGGGCTGGCAGAGGGGCGCGGGGCACGGGCCCGTCTTGTCAAGACTGTGGCTTCCTCACGCCTCTGGGTGTCTCTCCCTCAGGGTGGCCAATTCTATTCGGAGGGTCTTCATCGCAGAGGTCCCCATCATAGGTAAGACGCCCCTTGGTGCCAGGTTCTCGCCCTCCTCAATCCCGGCCTCCTCCGAGGGCTCCTGCTTGGCGGGTGGGGTCTAGGGGTGCCGAGAAGTTTACACTGGGGGAAGCTTGACTGGACCCCAGCCTCGCTGGCTCCTGAGGGCCATTTATGTCTCTCTTACGCGGTGTGTGCCCGCTGAGGACCGTGGCTTCCAACCTGAGCTGACTTGGTTCCGACAGTGTTCATTTGCTGGCTCTGTGGAAACAGCACAAAGTAGCAGGGCGTTTTACTGCACCCCTGGTGCTGAGCAGGGTGATAGCAAGGATTAAGTGAGCTCACCTGTATTAAATGCTTTGCGTTTGGTGAGTGTTCAGTACTGATGGATGTCTTTATGAATCTCGTCTTTCCACTTCCCGAATGGAACATCGTAGGTGCTGAGCTCTGGAAATGCGTCACTGTGTAGGACAGGGATTTATCCCTGATGGAGCGCACAATGAAGCCGCAGGAGAAAGATGAATTCACAGACAACAGTGAGACACAAGTGATCGGGACATAGCCTCAGTGCACTTGGTGCCTAACCCAGTGCAAACCTGTTTCCCGTCTTGTTCCAGCCACTCAGCTCCAAGTGTTTTATACTTGTATAAGTCTAGAAATGCGTTAATGATCAGCTCAGAGAGTTCGGTTAGGCGAAAGAAATGGAAGTCTTAACTGTTGTGTCAGGTGTTTAGATTTTTAAGAAAATAAGCAGACTGCATGGTTAGTGATTAAGAGAATGTTGTGCTTCTTCACCACCCATCACTTCTTTAGCTCAGCATGGTAAGCGGGTTCTCTCTCTGCCAAATGTCTGCGTGCCTCTGGGCCTCAGTTTCATCGTGAATAGAGGGGCAGCCCTGACAAGCTGAGTCTAAACACCACTTTTCTCACAAACTCATTTCTGAAGATTAGACTGAGCACCCACTCTAGGAATGCAACAGCATCTCTGAACCCTGCCTCAGGAGTTTTTTAAAGTATGAGGTAGAGAAAAGACATACACAAATAGGATGCAAAGCAAAATATGACAGGTGTCTTGAAGTCTGGACAGTTATATGAGAGAAGAGTTCAAAGGGAAGCTTTGACCGCATCTGCAATGTGGAGGGTAATCAGACTGGGTTTTTTAGGAGGTTTAGGTTAAAACTTAAAGGGTTTTAATTAGGGAGAGGGGTGTACAGAATAAAGGGGGATAGGGGAGAGTAAAGAGAGAATAGCTTGAGTCATGATCCTTGCTTAGATTAAGGAAGCATAGCAGGACAAAGTAAGTAGTTGGGCCCCAGTGCTATTAATTTCTGAATTTCATTGTTTACATGCAGATATTTATAAATGGATAAATGTGTATTTAAATCAAGCATATGTAAGAGTACAGCCTTTGGCCTCCCAGCACATTGATGGTAGGGACTGGATTTTATATTAATATTCCTAACCTGTCAAAGGAATTCAGTAAATATCCATTTTGGAGTGGTAGTGAAGTTCTAAATTGGGTGATACAGTCATTGTGTCATCAGATGAGGGATAGCGTTGGCGGCGGTGGCCATGCCTGTAATTCCAGCACTATGGGAAGCTGAGGCAGAAAGATCACAAATTCAAGGCTAGCCTGGGTAACTTAGTTACTTAGTGAAAACTTGTCTTAGATAGATGCAGACATACTTATCATGAGTCTGTGTTACTAAATGCCCAAGTATTTTTTATTAGTTCTGGCATTAATACAGGTAGCACATTTAAATGCTTCTTACAGAAATACTCAGCTCAAAGGTATATGTCTGTTTTTTTATGTACTATAGAGAACGCTCTGTCATAAATTCACCTGAACAGTGGTGGTGGAGGAGGGAATGCTGTGTGTGGCTGCTGAAATGCAGGTTCTTGGGGTCCATTCTAGCACAGGATAATCAGAGCCTCCAGCAGCCAGGCCCCTACGTCTGCTATTCCATAAGGATCTTGAGAGCACTGTTACTAGTCTAGGTGAATTTGGTGACATGTGTGCATCTTTGCTTCATTCATTTGCTAGCCATCGACTGGGTTCAGATTGATGCCAATTCCTCAGTCCTTCATGATGAGTTCATCGCACACAGGCTTGGTGAGTGGTAGTGTTCTGGTGTTGGGGGTTGAAGGGACTATACTGGGCCTAGAGTCAGAGGAAGAGGCCTTCTTCCCACCTTGGTAGCAGAGGGACTTCTGAGTTTGGGGTAAGCTTGGCTACTGGGACTTTCAGTAAAGTGCTTTTCTGTGTCTTCCAGGGTTAATTCCTCTTACTAGTGATGACATCGTGGACAAGCTGCAGTACTCCCGGGTATGTGTATATGTGGCTGGTGGACCTTAAGGGTGGGGATAGGCTTCAGTTTCCTGAGAGATTCTTCCTGATATCTTGTTTGTGTTTTGGACTGTGTTGTAGTTTAGGAAAACAATGTGGAATTACCTAGACCCTGAGGCAGGCTAGTGTCATTGGTTCTTATGGGGCTTCAGGTTAATTAGACTTGAAGGTGTCTTATGAACCACACAAAAGGGAGCATTTACTCAAATGCCCATTTATACTGGCTGGGGGACTGTTCTTTCCAGAGCATCTCTTCCAGCAACAAGAGGCTGGCAGGTGGATGGGAATCAGCAGCAGACTGGGGACAAAGAACAGAGGGAGCAAGAACTGTTTTCTAGAGTAGCACCTGAGGGACTTAAGTACAGGTGCCTGCCAGATCCATGCCTCTTCCAGTAGACAAAGCTCCTGATGCATGGCCACTCTTATGTCCCTAAGGTTGGGTTTGCTTTGTCTGATGATGTATTAATAGGAAAAAGTGGGAGAAGATTAGGTTCCCTTCATCTTTTTACTAAGGCTGCTTTAGATAACAGCTCAGACTATGCTCTTTTGATGGCTTGGGATGATAATGAATCAACCCTTTTTTTTTTTTTTCCATAACTTTCTTTTGAATAGTTCAGCAAAAATTATACCACATGTAAAACGTGTCTCACTATGCACTTCAGGCTGGCCTTTTAACGCATTTTGTAGCCCAGGCCGGTCTTGAACTTGCAACAGTCCTTCTGTCTCAGCCTACTGAGTGCTGGGATTACAGGTTGCTGGGATTATAGGCATGTGCCACCACACCCAGTTTCAACCCTTTTACTGATATGCCCAAGAGCATGTCATTATATGTTTTGGCTGACTTGATATAGCTTTATTTATATAAGTTTTGAGAAATACCAAAGCACACAGAAAAGTGTGGAGCTAATATAATAAATTTCACCTAACTGGTTGTCATATTTTATCATTTTGCCATATTTGTTTGCCACCTCCAATCCTGTCTTATGCTTGGATTGAACCCAGAACTTCAAGCTTGTTAAGCAAGTACTATACCACCGAGCTACAAATGCAACCCGATTTTTGTTTCTAAGAAGTAAAGCATAACAGCTCTCTAGGTGACTGAGGCAGGAGCATTGCAAGTTTGAGCCCAGCCTGGGCAATTTAGCAATTTAGTGAGACCCTTTCTCAAAATAAAAAATTTAAAAAGATAAAGCTCAGTGCAGGGGCTGGGGATTTAGCTCAGTGGTTTAAGCATCTGCCTGGCAAGTGCGAGGTTGTAAGTTGGCTCCCCAGCACCCAAAAAAAAAAAAAAGCTCAGTGCAAAGGCCCTGGGTTCAATCCCCAGTACCGCAAAAACCAAAAACATCAGATATTGGTGGGGACAGTTATACAACCAACTAAGAATAATTTGGCTTACGTGATGATATGCATGCAACCTAGCAGTTCTTTCTATTAAATTCTAATGTTATTCTAATATATAGTTACTGAACAAGGATGATGTGGCATTTTTCCCCCTGAGAAGCTATAGAAAGTTGAAAAACCAGAATAAACACTCATTTATTCTTCCTATATAATTACCAATTGACATATTACTACATTTGAATTATTTTTTACATGTGGCATAATTTTTGCTGAAGTATTCAAAAGTTGTAGGATCCTGATCCTTCTTTCTTTAGTACTTTCGTGCATACTTTCTAAGAATAAGGATTTTTTTGCATATAACCACCCTACTGTCCATAAGAAAATTACCATTAATTTGTAATATTTATATTTAGTCCTTATTCAGGTTTTCCTAGTGCCTCTAGATATCCTTTATTGTTTTGTGTTTTTGTGGGACTATGGTACAGCCAAGATTCTCTTGGTTCTTAGAGCTCTTTATAGATTTATAGTTTTTGTGTTTGGTAGTCAGAGCACTGTAGTCTTTTTTTGTCTTGAACACACTTCTCTTTTCAGTACTTTATTTTATTTTATAGGTTATGTACCTTCTCATATTTTAACTTTGTTATGTTTTGATTTTTCCTTTCCTGTGTCTCAAGAGGAGGATTCAGGCTCAAGGGATTCAGGCTAGGTTGCCCTTCTGTCCAGTGTTGTTAAGACTGCAGATACCCAGATGTTTCTTATAATTGCTTCTCTCTCATTATCTCAAAGTATAGAATATGTTTGGGTTTCCTCACTACTGTAAGGGAGAAAACAGTATTCATTGATTACATCCATGTAACTCATTCTTTTTCTTCATTTTGTCTTTTTGAGACAGGGTCTGCCTCTGTGGTTCAGGCTGGCCTTGGGCTCACTTTGTAGCCCAGGCTGGTTTTGAACTGACAACCACCCTTTTACCTCAGCCTCAGGAGTGCACCACCACACCCAACCTCATGTAACTCTTCTTACCTAGAGTTAAATTGCCATCAAGAGTCCCTATTATAGGATAGTTTCGTTTTAAGAGTCCGTTGGTGTATTGGTTACTTTTGTCTTGTTGCTGAGACAAAATATCTGATGTCCAAAATTAAGGAAGGAAAGGTTTATTTAGCTCACAGTTTGTGGCAGTTTCAGTCCGTACTCAGCTGGCTCCAAGGCAGAGTGGCACATGGCAGAGAGGCAACAGTTCATGGTGGCAAAAGACAACAAAAGCAACAAGAGCAAAAAGAGAGGAGCATGCAAAGAAGAGTCTGTCCTTTATATTGTATGTAGGCCACCCACCCTGGAGTGTATGTAGCAGGTATACCCATAATTCTAGCATTAGACCATGAATCAATCACAAATTCTAAAAGCCTGCCGCCAAGACTGCATGAGGTTTTAGGTGGACATCCAGACACAGATCATAACAGTTGGTAAAGCCAAGTGTAATGGTGCATTCCTGTAATCCCAGCACTCAGGAGACTGAGGCAGGAGGAGTGCTGTGAGTTTGAGGCCGGTCTGAACTTCATAGTGAGACTTTGTCTCAAAGACCAAAAAAAAAATTTAAATCAGTTGGTGGACTAGAGGGGCAGCGTAGTAAGAAGCATCTACCAGATGTACATGAAGCCCTGGGTTCTACCCCTAGTACTTTCAAAAAAGTTAATTTAAAGTTATTTGAAGAATGGCAAATGTTGACAATTGTGGAAACTTTGTAATGGTCTCATAGTAGCAGTATATTATATATCCTTCTCTTTTTGTGCATGTATGATGTTTTCATAAGAGGTTTTTAAAGAAGTTGGTAGTCTAGAATTGAAAAGTTACTTCTATTCTTCCCTGTTGTGTTATGTTTTATTTTATAGGGTCTTCTCTGTCGTGTTATATTATATTATATTTTATTTTATTTTATAGGGTCTTGCTATGTTGTGCAGGCTAACCTTGAAATCACTGTTATCCTCTTGCCTCAGCCTGCTGAGTGCTGGGATTAGCTAGCACACCCAGCTACTGCCTTGTTTTAAATGAAGCTTATCTCCCCAAGGGGTCTACTTAGCCCATAGTCTGTAGTGTGTGAAGTGCCCTCTCTCGCCAGAACTTTGATCCTGAGGAAGGGGACTCCAAGGCCAGAGATGTGGCAGTGCATCTCCTGGGGTGACATGGCATCCAGGGAAGGGAATGTGGGTAGCAGCACATGTGTAATTGTCTTTCTACTTGAGTGGCTCATGAGAATGGTGTTCCATATTGGTCCACAAAACCCTGGAGACTGGCTGGCCCCTCTTTACAGAGGATGAACTTAAAAGGATACTAGCAGCAGGGGTCTGTTGGAGCTCCGCCTCTCCTTATGCATTCCTTCCTGCTTCCCTGCCGCCTCAGGATTGCACATGCGAAGAGTTCTGCCCTGAGTGCTCAGTAGAGTTCACGCTCGACGTGCGGTGCAATGAAGACCAGACGCGCCACGTCACCTCTCGAGACCTCATTTCCAACAGCCCCCGAGTGATTCCGGTCAGTGTCTGACTGGCCTCCCTCCCCAGGCCTGATCTCTGCCCTTTCTGACTCCCAGTGGCTCTGGCTGGCATGATTTTATGAGATGTTGAGCTTCCCTTTGGCCATCAGCCCTAACCTGCGCCTAGAAGTGCTGACCAGATTCTTGAGTAGAGCAGCACTGGTACTGTGTGTCCTCTGTCACCCAGCGAACCCCTTTAAAGGCCACGGATTGCTGACAAGGCTGTCAGAGTAGTGTAGAGTCCCTGGAGATACTTCTACCACCTGCCCTGAGCACCCTTTCCCCAGCTTGACGTGTTACAGGATGGAAGTGCTGAGAGGTGGGTGCCAGAAGAGGTGATAGAGGAGAGGCTAATTAAATGCTTCTGTTTGGGCTCCTTACAGGTGACGTCCCGTAACCGAGACAACGATCCCAATGATTATGTGGAGCAGGATGGTAAGGGGCTGGGGCAGATGTGTGGACATGTGCCTGAGTTGTGGCTGCACAGGCCAGAGGAACACACAGACCAGACAGAGCCTCTCATGCTGCTGGGTCTCCTTGTAATGTGACCCTAGACCTGTTTTTCCAGATGTGTGGTCTTCCAGAGCACTGTCAGATGGAGAGCCGAGCCTCTCCTGCCCTTGCCTGACTCAACTTCTCTCTGCCTGCAGACATCCTGATTGTCAAGCTGAGAAAGGGCCAGGAGCTGAGACTTCGAGCCTATGCCAAGAAGGGCTTTGGCAAGGAGCATGCCAAGTGGAACCCAACTGCAGGGGTGGCTTTTGAATATGATCCGGACAATGCCCTGAGGCATACCGTATACCCCAAGCCTGAGGAATGGTAGGTCCCATCTCTGGTGGGGCTGGGTTGGAAAGGGCTGCTAGTACATGAGGCGGGGCAGCTCTCAATGAACTGAAGGACCCTGGAAGCAGCAGTGGCCATGTGCTGACCTCTCTCTGACCTTAGGCCAAAAAGTGAGTACTCAGAGCTGGATGAAGATGAGTCACAGGCTCCTTATGATCCCAACGGCAAGCCAGAGAGGTAAGACTGCAGCACCATTCTCAGCCTACAGTGTGAGAATGTAGGGTTTATATGCAGGCTGAGTCAGGCAGCTCCTCTCCCTCACATCTCAGTTCTCAGCTGCCAGCTGCCAAATTGCATTCATGGTATGCACCCATTCCCAGGTCAGTTATCATTTTCCTTTTGGTCACCATGAGAAGGAAGGGCTTCCAGAATCCAACCTGTTTCTGTTCTGCATTTGAGCCCCAGAAGAAAAGGCTTTTTTTTAGGTCTGAGCTCAGGACCCACAGTGAAGACTGTGAAGGAATGTAGCAGAAACTATTGGTTTGATTTTTCATTTTGTCCCCAGTATGGGACATCTGTGTACAGAATTGTTTTAGGATTTTCATGGTACTTGTTTGAAGTAAACGGTGTTTTCATAGGCCTGCAAAGTGGTTTGGACCACTGTGCGTAGGTTTTAGATGAAAGTCTGCCCTGTACTGGGTCAGGCTGCAGCTCCATGTGGGAATGAAGGCGAGCCCTAGGGTGAGGAAGGCTGGTCCTTGGCTGGAGTACGGGCTGGGCTCTCACCACATTCCTGCCTCTTAGGTTTTACTACAATGTGGAGTCCTGTGGCTCTCTGCGCCCTGAAACCATTGTCCTCTCGGCCCTCTCTGGATTGAAGAAGAAGCTGAGTGATTTACAGACTCAGTTAAGCCACGAGATCCAGAGCGATGTACTAACCATAAACTAACTGCAGCTTGCCTATACAGTAGGAATTCAAGGCAGCAGCTGGAGTTCAGGTCTCCAAAGGCCTTCCAGTTTCTGGGCTCTGGGCGGCTGCTTCTCAAGCTTTGCAACAGGTCACCAGGACCAGCTAGTTGGGAGTTGCAGAGAGATTATCAAGAATACCTCTCTGTTAGGCAGGGCTGATTTTTGCAAGACATTGTAGTAGTGCTTGTCAGAACCCAAAGCATCCGGTCCATCCTGTTTCCCAGTACATCGGTAGGGGTCTGTCCTGCTCCCCTGTTGAGAACACTGGACTTCTCTCCTGGTCATTCCAGCTCTTTAAAGCCTTTCTGTCCAAAAGGAGTTTTCACAGCTGTATGTAAGGTTTCTGGTATTAGGATTGGGTGCTGGAACCTTTATCCAAGCAGACTGTAAACCCTCTGGTTCTTCCCTCAGGGGCCAACCTACTGGCACTGTGAATTCCTAGGTGTCCCTAATTTGAGAAGTAACTCTTTGCGAACAGAACATCAGACCCTGGCTGTCTTCTGCCTCCACAAACAGACATGCTCTTACTCTCTACCCACCGATTCCTAACGAACTCCTTCCCTGCCAGCAGCCTCATCATTCAGTTTGGTGGTGGCAGATGAACAGAACCATAGGTTCTCTCCCATGTATTTCTTTCTCCTAGTGAAGGTTCTGGTCCTGCTTCCTTAGCACTGTCTCCAGGTAGGAGCAAACTGAGAGCAGCTAGCTAGGTAGCCTGGAGAAAAGCAGAGATCGGTATAGAAAAAAAGGGATATTTATTGATTTAACAATAGTTGTCTTTTGAAAAGTTTTTATTTTTGGCAATAAAGAGCACAACATAATCTCCTTCATGCGTCATCGTGCCACTAGCTGAGCCAGCCAGCTCTTATCTCCCTCCCCAAGGGCTTCGGACCCCAGCTCCCCAGCACACTAGCTTGCTCTGGGTGATCATTCCCTGGGTCACATTCAGAGCTGAGCTGGCTGTGCCATAACCCTGGCTCTGGGCTTGTGGGGGGTGAGGGGGGGGCTCCTGCTTTGTCATCCTGCCACAAATGTGAACAGTAGTTATTTACAAGTAGGTCTGTTCCCACAAATCAGAGCCCTAAAATTTTAAAAAAACAATCAACAAAAACTCACACAACCAAAGGTTTGATGTGAATAGAAAGATAGCCCTTCTGCACGGTAGTCAATAAATACCAGCACTAGAAAATCAATTGCTTTAATTGCATTTCAGCAGGGAGCCTCAGCACCATGTGGGGAGCAGGGATGGGAAGGTCTTGGTTTTGAGTGCCCTGGTATGGGGTGGCCAGGCTCAGGGTGGAGGGGCTACCCCTGTTGGGGCAACATCAACCCCTATGCAGTGAGGGGCAGCAGGGGTACTCCCCACAGCAGTCCTACTGGGCCTTCCTGCTTGGCCCCCCATCCTGCACCCAGCTGAGGTAACAGCACCACTACTCCAAGGGCATCTTCGTAGCCTGCTAAGCAGGAAGCAGCCTGTGCAGGAAGTACATTTTAAACCAGATTTTCACCCGAGGCATCAACCAGATGTCACCTCTGCTTAGAACTCCAAGTGGAAAGCTGCCAAGTGGCACAGGGAAAGTTCACATCCTTCCTGTATCACTCCATGACCAGAGAATTGAGAAGTCACCTACTGTCTTCACCCCTGGGCTGCTTGGAAAAAGCTAGCAGGCACACCACCCTCAAGTTCTGATTGTCCCTCCGCTGGTCCTGGCAGCTCAGGTCCTGCAGCAGGAGGGCTGTACAACAGAGGGCAAGGAAACAGCTGCCCTCATACTCCAAAACCACCTTGACCATGGCTTGGTCATGGCATTAAAAAACGTGTTATGTGTTGGTAGGAGGGATGGGGAAAATTTCATTATATAGAGTATGTCGTAAGCCATATATATTAAAATCATGAACAGTATATAGTCCCACGGTAGCTTATCCCCTCACATGCTCAGGTGGGTGACCAGCCCTTTGCCTTGGTCCAGCCACACCCTTGGGGGCAAGGGAGGAACAGCTCGCCCTCTCTCCAGGCCCTTGGCAACAGCCCCTTGAGGCTGTCCACCGGACACTGCAGTCAGCTCTGCAACAGGTGGCCTCAGCAGTCGTTGGTACCCACCAGCCCTGTTGTCACTGGGAAGGGGTCTTGGACTCGCTGCTGTCCCCCTGGCTGGGCTTTGGCTTTAACAGGATGAATCTGTTGAGAAGATCTGTTTCTGAGCTGGCCTGGGCTGCCCCATACCCCTCACCTGTGGACACAGAAGGTGATTGGGTTCAACTCTGATCCATATCAAAAGACTCCTGCCAAGTAGGCCAGGTCCTCCATAGTGCAGGGCAGGGCAGTGACTCACCAGTGTAGCTGGAGGCTTCGGCAATGTTCTGGGAACCTGTGATGTGGTGCCAGTAGGCACTGCGGGGCAGCATGGTAGTGGGTGTGCAGGGATACGAGTAATGCTCAGTGCCCTTGTTCAGCAGCTGTGGGGCAGAGAAGGGGTCCTTCCTGTTAGCTCTAGGAGCAATGGCTGACACTGGCACTAGCTCAGGACTGCCTGCATCAGTCTGGTATGTTACATGCCGGTAGTCCCACAAGTTGGGAAGCTGAGGCAGGAGGATTCTAAGTTTGAAGTCAGTCTGCTATAAAGCAAAACTGTCTCCCTTACCCCCCAGTAAAAAGCCTGTCTACCTCCACTGTGTAGACTCTGACTTGAAACTTGGCTGGGAGGCCCCAGGCACTCAGGCTCGCCCACCCTGGCTCCCCTCGACCCTGGACTCTCCCATGGCCTCACCCTCACATTCTTCTCCATTTCCAGTAGGACCCGCTTGTGCTGCTCAGCGATGGCCAGGGTGGCACTGTGGACCCGTTGGTAAATCTGTTCTCCTTCCTGTGTCTGGAAGGTGTAGAGCCCTTCCCCAGCATCGCACATCCTGAGGACACAAGTGGGCAAGGTGGTGGGACCCCACCACCCTGCAAGTGTGCTTGGCCAGTGCTCCTGCACCCAGGCCACCTGGGGCCCAGAGAGCAGGGCTGCAGCTGGGATCCAGAGCACCAGTGCACACATGCTGAATGCATCCATGTGTCTGGCTGAGGTCAGCATGTGTCACAAGAATTAACCCACTTAGTTCTTACCACCCCCTCCTGGTCTCCACATAATTAACAGTTCCCTTGTTATGTTTTCTCAAAGCATTTTACAGATGCAAAAATGAGCATATAGAAGCAGAGTAATTCAAGCTTATTTGGAGGATTACAGAGGGTTTTTCATTTTTTTTGAGTCAGGGTATTGCCGTGTGGTTTAGGCTGGCCTTGAACTTGAAATGACCCTTCTGCCCCTGCCTCTGGGTGCTGGGAATACAGGAGTGCATCACCATGCCCAGTTTACAGAGCATTTAAGGCTTATTCAAATTCCAGCCAGAAACCATCCTTTCATTATCCCCAATACCAGCACCTGATGTGGAGCAGTTAGACCTGTGCTAGACAGCATCACTTGATGGTTTACTTCTCTGAGCCTTGATTTCTTTCTCTGTGAAACCCTCTGTAAAAGCCTTTGGACTGCTATACTGCCAACTCTTAATTCCTAGCACCATTCCTGACAGTGCATGACCATTCAGGGATGGGGTGGGGAGGCAAGAGAGTCTTACCGGCCTGCCTCAAAGGTAAAGCGTGTGGCGTCCCGGCCATAGCGGCGCAAGGAGCACAGAGGCCACGACACGAGCTTGATGCGGGGGTTGTGTATGTCCCAGAGGTAGATGTTCTCGTGGGTGATCTGTAGCTTGCACTCGCCGTACACGTCCAGGTTGGGACAGGGCAGCAGGAAGACATTGAAGCGATCTGGGGCAGAAAGGGACAGGTGGGCAAAGAGCAGCAGAGAGACCCACACCCCTCTTCCCCCTCCCTTCCCCAGGGCCAGGGCTCACCTGTCTGCTCACATTGCACCCCAGGGGCCAAGAGGTCAGGCTCTCCCAGACTGATGTCATTAAGCCGTGACCCCAGACACTCCACAGACAGTGTCTTGTACCACTCTTCTGCCTCCAGTTCTGTAGAAAATGGATCCTTATCTTGCTGCCAGCTCAAGGTTGCCAGGAGTCCGCTCATCTGCCTCAGCCCAAGTTATCCCACCACAAAAGGGAGAGAGGGCAAGGCCATGCCACCTGCCTGCCCTCCTCAGTCTGTGGCAGCTCCCTCAAGGGCACCCTGCCACAGCTTGCATCACCTTCCCCAGTTCTGTCTCCTGGCTGGGCTATTGACCACAACCAGGACAGGGAGACCACGTCAAGGCTGCAACCCCAAGGCCTCACCTGAGTCGCAGGTGAAGGTGCGTGCAGAGTCATCAGTAAATATGATGGCCACCGCCTGCCTCTTGGTCTCCTTGGGGAGCCGCGTGACGCACTTGACATTGCTGATCTCAGTCACCTGGGGTGGCATTCACAAGGGACTAAGCCAGGCTGGCATAACTCTCTCTGCCTCCCCAGAGCTCTGCCGCCCCCTGGAGGTACTCTTAGACCTTAGGACTCAGCAAGTCATTTTTGTTCATAGGATGGGAAAGCTAGGGCCCGGCCACCTAACCTTGGGGCAGCCTCGGAGGCACACAGACTTCTCATCCGGATATTTCTCCAGCCGCTGGGGGCCCTTGCTTGAGGACTTCCGGAACACCAGCCAGCACCTCCGGTAGATCTGTAGAGACAAGATGACGGGATCAGGCTTCTGGACCCTCCCATCCCATCAGGCAGCTGTGCAGTTACCCCTGCTTACCATAGGGGGCAGTGCCACAGCCCTCCCTGGAGAAAATTACCTGGGTACAGAAATCACAGGGTGACACTGCCCTGGGGAATGGCCTCCTCCCCACACCATAAAGCAGTCGTTCTGCGTTACCTCCGAAACCTATTGGAGGGCTTCTCATCCCCACTTTCTGGATTAGCACACTGATCCCAGGATCTCTCCAGAGGCCAGTTCTATTATTGCCCCTTTTTATAGATTGGGAAAGTGAAGCAGTAGAAAGTTAAGTAACAGATCATAAGCCAGGAGCTGATACTTAAAGTAGGTTGTCATGATCCAGAGCTGACATGCACAGCTCAGTGCACAGGCTGTTCTGGCCAGGGCTCTAGCACCACCAGGTGCCACATAGGGGGTCTTTACGGGACTGAGTAGAGGGACACTAGCCCCACAGCCAACCTGTGGTCACTAAAGCCCTGTTCTCTATGCTGCACAAAATTCTTGGTAACACTGCTCTTGTCCCCAGATGTTCTCCCTTCTCTTTTATCCTCTTGCCAATGCTACAGCAAAAGAGGATTACTTCCCTGTTCTCTTGGGGACCCCAGAGGTCCTCAGAGGTAAAGAGGCAGAGCTGAGAACCTGGGGTGCCCTCTGGTTGTTCCTTCTTGTCCTACCTTCTGTCAGTACCCTGTGCCTCCCACCACCTACATTCTCTAGAGCTTCTTGAACACTTCCAGGGTGAGGAGAGGGTTGATCATTCCTTAGAGTTAAAGGTTTAAACTAGCCAGTGAGGGACCTCGAGGTGGCCCAAGCCACCACCTAAGCTAATGTTCTACCTCCTCTTCCCAGGGCCCAGTCCTTTCCACCTTCCACCAAAGGCCCTCCTCCAGCCCAGCCTGCGACTGAGGTCTACCCATTCATATGGCTCCACTGACTGGCAGGCCCTGCCCTAGGCATCCCCAGTGCCACTGTCACCAGAAACAAGGGGAGTCTGAGGGATGGCTCAGAGTAGAGCAGAGCAGGAGGCTAGGAGACTTACAGGCCACGGCCCCCAAACCCTACACCACCTCAGCCCTAATTTTTTTTTTCTGTCTTTTTCTTTTTTATCGGTACCGGGGATCAAACTCACAACCGCCTGCTTGCAAGGCAGGTGCTTATGCCGCTGAGCTAAATCCCCAGCCCCATCAGCCCTAATCTTTCATGGTGCACCAACGCATGGCAGGTAGGATCACAGGGTTCCATGGGCCTAGACTATCCCCATCTCATGAAATGTCACAGAGCCACAGTACTCACAGCCCCTGTCTAGGACCCCTACATCTGGCTTGCACCCCTGACCATGCTTGGCCCCTGGACAGTTCTCCTGGGCCACAGCAGTCTCCAGCTCCAAGCTGCAGAATATCCCTAAAGCAAAGACAGTTTTATTCCCAAAATGAGCATTCGTATCCTATAGCCTTGTTATAGAGCTCACTGAACACATGAATGAATGTAAAAAGGGATAGTGGATGGATGGATGGATGAGTGCATGCTGCTGACCCAGTTAACACCCTGCAGGTTGGGCAGCAGTCAGCCTGCAGTGGTAGGGGCATAAGCCTGGGGGCCTAAGGACCCCGGTTACCTGGTTACAGTATACACACTCTCACAGCCAGGGAGCCACGTGCTCAAGAGCCCTCCTTCCTACTTCTTCTAGGGCTTTGATCAGTGCTTCAGAAGCTCTCTGCCACAGCTCTGCCAGCTCTGCCGGAGAGGGAGGTCTTGCAGGTAGGAGGGTGGGCTCCCATCTGTGCAGCCCCTCCTCCACCTCAGGGCCAAGACTAGCACAGCAATACCTTGCAAAGGCTTAAATCTGCAGAGGGTAGCTGGATCCCTTGGTGGGAGTGAACCCCAGACTGGGCCTGGCTATACCCCACCTCCTAGCCCTCCTGGCTGTGCCCACCTATCCACTTGGGGTCCCAGGATTTCTTCTGATGCTGACCCCAAGCAGCTGCCCCTGTGGCCAGTGCCTTCCTGGCAAGTTCTGCCCTGGGCAGGTCCCTGGGGACTTGCTAGGTATAGGCTACAGGAAGGAGGAGTGGGTCCCTGTCCTCTTGGCCTCCCCACTAGGGCCTCAGCTTCTGTCTTTGTTCTGGCTCCAACTCAGTGGGCTGAATCCTTGTCTCAGGGGAAGAGCAAAGTGCCTAGTGGCTTCCAAGGCCCAGGCTAGGGTCCAGTCCGGGCTACCAATTCAAGCCCAGATAGTACTCCGAACATGCCACCAGCTCTGCCCTGCTGGATGATGGCTCACCTGATAGCAGTGAACTGCTGGCCCCTTCCCAGGCACAATGCACTCCCACAGGGGCCCCAGCAGGGGCAAGATCCACCTCTCCCCAAGGCTGGCCCTGCCTGCCTGGTATCTAGGAGGGAAGCCAGGTGTCAGACCCTGAGACTCCCTGGCTTGTCCTCCACCCAGCTCCTGCTGAGCCAAGGAGCCTAGAGCAGTCTGACCCCTCCCCCACCCTCATCCCATCAAGGCAGTCGGGGAGGGAAGAAAGGCCAGGCCTGTGGATAAAGCATAACCTGGGCAGTTCTGGTCACCAAGCCTTTCCTTCCTGCTGGGGAGGGGCAGCTGCCAGCCACATCACTGGAAGTGGGACGAGAATTGGCAGGGAGTAGAGGCAGCTCCTGGACACCTTACCAAGATGGTTAAGTGGGTCCCTAGGGCACTTGCTCATGCTTTCTGGGGGACCTTCCCCTGCTGGAGGTACTATGTGCTCTGAAGCTCATCTCTGCAGACCTTCCAAGCCCCAGCCAGGGCTAACTAAACATGATGCCACCTGCCAACAACTTAGAGCACAGTGGCCCCATCCCAGAGAAACAGAACCCAGGCCATGCTGGCCAAAGTTCTCATTGACAGATCACAGAAGTATTGGCTTTGGCCCTTGGCGCCCCCTGTCCCATCCCCCCAACCAGTGTCTCTCCTTTTCAAACATTTCTGTAACACCAAACACAACAACAAAAATAGGATAAATATACACTCAGAAAGCAGTGGGAAGCAGAAAGATGAGGCCAGGAGGGGTGAGGAAAGAGAGGGGAAGAGGCCCCGGGAAGTGGAGAAGCCGGTCTGGGCTCAGACAGCCCAGTGTCTCCAGCAGCTCCCGCCACTGCTGCTGTGGCGACAACTTCAACAATAGCAGGGGAGCTGCTGCCCATCAGCCACGCCGCTGGCCCAGTGAGCCAGCCAGCCCTGCTGGGTGGGGGCTGCAGCAGGCAGAGCTCCGTGGCTGGCACATGCCAGGTGGCCCACGGCGAGAAGCCTGGAGACCACAAACACATGATGCCAGTCGATGGGCAGACAGCACAAACCAGCACACCATGCCTCCAGACCAGTCCTCAGGGACGGTCCCTCGGAGGGGCCCTGCGATGCTCACTCACCCCAAGCTTCCTGCTCTTCATCTTCACATAGCCCTGCTTGACGATGTCGTTGAAATTGGTCGCCATGGTGGCCCCACCGGCTCGTCTTTGGGGCGGGGCGCCGGGCTGGGCCGAGGCAGGGAGCAATGCCCAGGTGGACCAGGTCTCCGACTCCACTGATCACCTGTTCCAGATGCACTCTGTCTGTAATCTGTCCGTGTTCCTCCAGGCTGCTCCTCACCTCACCCGCCTCAGCATTGTTTTAACAGTTCCTTCGCTTGGTGCTCGCTGGAAACACAGATGACAGGGAGATTAGAGACAGTGACATCTTTCTCTTCCCCTTGCTGTCTCGCTCTTTTTTCCTTCCTCTTCCCACACTCCTCCCTCCGCCCTCCGCCCTTCTTCCTTCCCTTTTCTCCCCACCCCAGAACGACAGAACCATTCAGGAAAACTGAGGTGGAGGCAGCAGCAAGGAAAATGGTCCAGCCCAGTCCCCTCCCTCACGGCTGGGCTGGCAGTTAACCCCTTCCTGGGAGATCCAGCTCCTGCTCCAGAGGTGGAGGTAGGGGTGGGAGAGGAAGGTGGCTGTGCTGGGATCAGGAGCTGCTGTCCTTCAGTTTCTCTGCCCCTGGCCCTCTCTTCTGGAACAACTTTGGGGCAGCCCCAGGGCAATCTGCCAGCACAAAACCCCCTCCTGGGTTCAGAAGTCTTGGGTAGGGAAACTGAGCGGGGTGGGAGATAGTCCAGGGTCTGGTGTCTCATTGAGTACCACACTTTGCCCTGTTGCCCTTAGAAGACCCCAGATCCCTTGCCCCACCCAGTCGGACACCTGGTCTCTTCAGTATCCCAGGCCCACTCAGGCTCTGCTCAAGGTTCCTGAAGGCCTCTGTCAGCTCCTCTTGGGCGCTGCTTCCGGGTGGGAGGGCAGAGTCCAGTGGGGCGGGGCCCCTAGATAAGCCTGAGGAATGTGCAGGGCCAGCCAGAGGTGGCTGCTGTGGAAACAGACAGTGCTCTAGGCTAGCCCTGGCCTTGAGAAGACAGAGCCAATCTGAGGGTAGGGCTGCATCCCAACAGGCTGCTGGGTCTGGCCTGGCCAGCCAGTGCCTCCACATTTTGTGCACGGGCAGGAGTTAATTACAGGGGAAAGTAGGCTGGGTTTAGGGCCCAGGACAGCCCAGATGATGCAGAAGACCGTATGGACACCAACCAGAGCTCAATATGGAGTAGGAAATGGGGTACAGCAGGGGACTTTCAATTTAGCAGATCAACTGACAGAATCATGAGAATCCTGGCAATGACCTAGTCTATCAATTCCACTTTATAGATGGGAAAAGAAAGTCACCCAGAGAGGGTAAGACACACCAGAATAAGGTCACACAGCAAGTTCATGGCACAGCCAGGAATGAGTGAGACATTCCAGAACATCACTGTGATACAGAACATCATCTTGCAGCCACCTACTGCTACTACCTCAGCCTGAGTAGCTGCCTGCTACTACTTAAGCCTTCCCTGTATTTTGAAGATCATTGGGTGGGAATTCAGTAGCACTCTGGGGGTCAGCTGAGCATTTGTGCTGCCAAGACGGGGCCCCAGGGCAAGCATGCTGCAGCAGCTTAGCATTAATTAATCTCTTGGAGGCCTGTCTGTTGAGTCTCTAACAAGGAACAGATGGGACACCACAGCGGGCACGTACAAGCAAGGGGCAGGGAGAGGGGTGATGTTCTCCCTCCTGGGGGCACCCTGAAAGCCCTGCCAGTGCCCCCTTGCCCACTCACTTCCTGAATCCCAGTTCCAGGGATCCCAGACCTACCCACGGCCCACAGCTCGGCTTTCCTTCTGGAAAGGCCAGTCCCCATGGGCCCTGACTCACCTGGGCTCTGCTAAGTCAGAAAAGCATCAATTTTCCCAGCTCTGTCGCCACTGCCTGCCTCTAGGACTGCCTTGTCCCCAGACCAAGGACCAGCACCATAGTGCCCCCCCCCAAGGTGGCCAAGGCTGTGAATCCAGCACAAAGGCCCCTCTCTCAAAACACCTCCTAGAAGCCCCCAAGACTCCCTCATTCATTCAGAGTGTCTGAGATACAGCACAACCCGGAGTGTGACCTAGCTGGCCATGTAGTCATGTGCCAGCCAGTTAACTTTTTCATGCTGTTTCCCCACTCATGTTTTTGTAAAGGATAAATCTACCTGCTTTAAAAGAGGAAATGAATTCAAGAGATACCTAGCTGCCCGCTCACTCTGGGCCCAGAATTTCTTCCTTGAAAACACGAAGGGCTGTTTTTTGTTTGTTTGTTTGTTTGTCTGTTTTGTTTTGCTTCCAAAAGCTGCTGCCCAGCCACAACTGTGAAATCACCCCCAGGCAGCCTTCCACTGCCCAACGTGGCTCCCACTGACAGCCTGGGAGGGACAATGGCCACCAAGCTCTGATTGCTCCTGCTGTGTCCCTCCATAGGCCCACACCCTATCCCATCATCCCTCAGGCCCTAGAAGCAGCCCCACAGAAATAAACCTGCAGCAAGGGCAATTATCCCAGGGAAGCCTGGTGGGCAAAGTCCTGGCAGCTGACTCAGGCCCCAGTCACAGCACTCCCGCAAGAACAGCCTCCAATCAGGGGCCCAAAATGCTATGGCAAAGAGGGATTAGGAAGGTTAGGGAGTAGGAAGGGCAAAGGGTGGACCCACCGATCTGACAAGCAATAGGGTCAAGGTGAGGGGGACCCAGAGCCATGCCATCCCCCAGAGGGACTGCAGTGTGTTAAGCAACAGAGGTGGCTCCCAAGATCTCCCTGTTAAGGCCCAATGGGTATCAAGAAGTAGGAGGCAGTTGGGGTAGCCCCTAACCTGCCTACTTTAGGGCCACTGTCCCCATTGCTGCTGAGCATCAGTACTAGCCTTTCCCAGCCCTGGGCATGAGGTACCCTCCGCAGCAGAGGGCATGAGGTACATGAACTGGGATCCCCCAGAACAGTGAAGCAGGGTGTCCAGCAGCCCCTCTCAAGATTCTGGTGTGGACCAAAAGGGCCCCAATCCCTCCTCCCAGTCTGGCATTCATGTGTCCACTCCTCCAGAGTCAGTGTCTGCCATGGGTCAGCTCCTCAGAAACAGCCAGGATGGGAGTTGCTCTGCTCCCCAGGGAGGGCAGGTGCTCGTGAGGAGAGGTGACAAGAAGATGTCTCAGGTGGCCAGCAGGGGCAGGGCAGGGGCCTGCCTGTCTACCTGCCTGTGGGGCAGCCACTCTGATCTCTCCTTCCCTGGATTCTGCCTGGAGGCTTTGGCTCCAGAACAAACACTACTTGCTATTCTCTGAGGCCAGCAACCAATGGCAGAGCTGCATGGCTGGCCGGGCCTCCCCACCCAGCAGATTGGATCTTATCAGAGCGTCCAGTCGGACAGCCCTACCTGCGCACCTTCTCACCATCACGTAGTTTAGCTGTCTCCACACCACAGCGAAGATCTTATCAGTGAGGCAGATACTCTCCAGCACCTAGGCACCTCCATTACCTGCTGATCTGACCTCCCTCCCCCATGTGATTGTCACAGGCCACAGGAGGGCTCCTGAAAGTTCCCAAATCTCCATAAGGAGCCACCACCCCAAACAAAATGGTAACAAAGACAGACCAAAACCTAACTGGGCAGAGAAGAAGGGAACGAGGTGCATCTGAACAGCATAGTCTCCAGACCCTAAGTGGTGCTATGCCCCTGTACCACTGCCATCTGCTCTCTCCTGGTCCCCTGCCTACCCTGTAATGGGCCAAACTCCTACAGAGTACACTTGCGTTCCCTGCCCACAACACTGTTCCCTTACATGGTCTCAAGAATCATTCTACCACTTGATTCAGATCTCAGTTCAAAGGTCATTTCCTCTAAGAGGTCTTCCCTGGCCTCCCTGGCCAGAAGAGCCCTGATAGCTCTAACATAATCCAGTGTCACAAACTTTGTCACACACATCACTACAGGGTTTTCTTATTCCTTTGTGTGTGCATTTGTTACTTGGTCATGAAGAGACATATAGAATGTCAGCTCCCTGATGGCCAGGCCTCCTCTCTCTGGTTACAGCTCCATCCCAACTTCTAGAACACTGGGAGTGCCAAGTAGGTGCTCAATGTTTGGGGTCTGAATAAATAATTCACTCCAGGATTGTCCTCCTCACCAACACCAACATCCAGCCAGCTACTGTCAGCTTCCAGAAGCCAGCTCCCACTCCCTTGGATCCCAGCACTGACCACCATGGCCAGCGGAGTTGTTAGAAAACCAACTTGGCCCAAGACCCCACGGTTTGGTTTGAAGCTGCCTCGAGGGACAGTGAGCTGCTGGCACTGTTGTGCAGACCTGGCCAGCCCCACCTTGGGTGGAATTGTTGGATGAGGTCATGCCCAGCCCATTGCCCTGGCAGGAAGTAACCAGCACCCAAACACAGAAAACTAGGCAATGGAGTGAGATGGGCACAGCTCTTTGGACACATCCCAGATGGGGAACAGGACAACCTTAGCCTGTATTAGAGCCACATCCTCCTGAAAAGGGCCAGAAAGGAAAGTGCATGAATCCCAGTCCCTAACTGCTGTTCAGAGAGCAAGCTAGAACTGGTGCCCAGCCCCTGCTGTCCTACATTATCAGACCCCACACTCAAATCCTCCATCCCAGTGTCTGGCAAACTATCCTGACCAAGCCCCTGCTCTGCCCACATCACTTAGGTGTCCAACCTTGGCTCGAGCCCCTTAAGTGGTAACAGAAAGCATTTAACTGGAACCAGAGCCCTGGAGGAGAAAGTGGCCAGGACCTCCAGGTTACAGAGAAAGGTTCAAGGGCTGGAGGCGGCTGGCCATGAGTATAAGCAGTGGGTAGGAAAGCCCACCTAAGGTGGGGTGGGTACTGGGGCCAGCAAGGGAAGGGAAAACAGTCTATAACCACTGGAGATGTGGAGCCAGCAGGCGGGACAGGGAAGCAGGAAACACGGGAGGTGGGGGCCTCTATGGCCCGGGCAGTGCCCCTTCTGGAGGGCAGGCCAGAGGGTTTGCCCTCTGGGGACGGGGGTCCAGGGGTCTGGGTTTCTCTTGCAGGTGAGGTCAGGTCCCAGTCTGGGCTCCCCAGAGAGAAGAGCCGGGGATGGGGTCAGCTCAGGGAGTTTCTGTGCAGCGCGCTGAGGTAGGGGTCCTGTCTCCGAGTCCCACTCCCAAGTAGGAAGGTCATAGGGTCGGAATCCGAAGATTCAGGAGGTGCCCGCAGGTGCCCAGGGCTGGGAGTGCCCACGGTCCTGCGGGCTCGGCGCGGCCTAGGTCCCCCCGCTCCCATTTACCTGGGCGCCGAGGCCCGGACCGGGGCACTGGCTCGGCGGGGCCGCGGGACAGGCTCATGCCCGCGTCACAAGGTGGCCGGCGAGGCGGCGGGCGGCGCCGGGCTCTGGGCGATTACTGAGCTGGAGGCGCTGCCGCTCGACTCCCGATCTGTCCGGCTGGGACTCAGCCGCCACCCTCCTCTGCGGGTCCCCGCCCAGGCCCGCCCCTTCCCCACCCCACCACCACCTCTCCGCCCCCACCGTATTTCTTCGAGCAGCCGGACACCTACAGGCCCAGCCCCACCGCTCCTCTCTGGACCCCAAACCCCAATCTCACGTTGCCTCTCAACCCCTAAGAGTTGAGCCCAATATCAGCATCCAGCCCCCTCATCCAACTTCTGCAGGAATCTCATGTACACCCATTGCTCTCTATCCCCTGTGATTTCCTGCTCTCTCAATAGCCCACCACCCTTTGTCCCCTAGTAATCTCTACTCCCTAAATCCCCCATGACCTCCTCCAGTCCCCGCCCCAAAGCTCATCTAGCTTCTCTCAGAGCTGTGCAGGTGCTGGGTGCCTGCGCTGTGAGAATCACAGATGGTGACAGATGACAGCTGTGCCAGGGATGGGGAAGTCTATCCTGCTGGTTTAACACCTTTCACAGTGTGTGGGCTCTGGATCAGAAGTTTGGTACCACCATGAAACTTGTCAGCAATGCAAATTTCCCACCCCATTGGGCATGATGCCATGTGCCTGTAATCTCAGCATCCAGGAGACTGAGGCAGGAAAATCATGAGAGTGGAAGCCAGCCTGGGCTACACTACGTAGTGAGTTCAAGTCTGATCTGAACTACATAGCAAGACTCTTATCTTTAAAAAAAAAAAAAAAAAAAAAAAAAAAAAAAAAAAAAAGTCTCTATCCCAGTTCAGACCTATACAATCCAAATTTCTGGGAATTCAAGGTAGGAACCACTCACCCCACCCCCAGCCCAGTAATTCTGATGGATGCTAACATTTGAAAATTCCTGCTTTGCAACATATATATAAAATTAAACCCAAGGTCACACCTGAACAACTAAAATCCTGAGAAAGGAAAATATCCTCAATGCCCCTGTACCTCAGCCTTGCTCTGGGAACTTCGGAGGAAGCTACTTCCTACCCCCTGAAAATGTCACTGAATGGCCATTGTGGTACCTGTGACCAGGAAAGAAAGGAACCCCTGGTGCTCCCAGCACCTCAGGCCCTGAGCTTGAGTTAACCAGCCCCAGAATGCAGGGAAGCTTCAAGAAGGAAGTTGCTAGTGCCTGCTGGCCTGGGCCTTGACCTCTTGACCTGCCTATCCATCTTCCAAACTTGACCCCACCTGCTCTGCTTCAAACCACAGCCCATAAAGGCCAAACACTTAATCGATCACTGACACCAGCTTTCACTCCCAGAAACCTCCGGAGGACTTTGGTCAGCAACAAAGAAAATGAGTTTTCATGACAAAAAGGCATCTTTTTCCAAGTGCAGTTCCCAAACTTCATTCTCAGAATTGTTACCCAGTCCACATTCAATCTGTACAACTTTCACCTAATTTTTTCACCTACATTTTCCAAGTAAAACTTTATTTTGAAGTATTTTTAGATCATGTGCAGTTGTAACATATAATACAGAGACATTATGAGTACTCTTTACTCTGGACCCACAGTGATAACATCTTGCAAAACTATAGTATAATCTCCCCTCCCAGAAGTTGACACTGGTGCAGTCAAGATAGGAAATGTCTCCACTAAAGTGTGGTGGTGTATGCCTGTAATCCCAGCTACTTGGGAAGCTGAGGCAGAGGAATTGTTAGTGTGAGGCCACCCTGGGCAATTTAGCAAGACCTTGCCTCGAAAAAGAAAAAGAAAAAGAGCTGTAACTGAATGCTAGAGCAATTGCCTAGCATGCATAGAGCCTTTGGTTCAATCCCCAGTACTACCAAAAAAAAAGAAAAAAAGAAAAAAAAGGAGGCCAGGGATATAGCTTAGAGGTGTAAGTGCCTGCCTGGCAAGCACAAGGTCCCAAGTTTGATTCCCAGTACCAATAAAGACAGAAGAGAGAAACAAGGGTGGGGAGAACCATTTCTCAGGGACATACTTCACTTTTTCTAGTGTGCTTCTGGATTCAAGTACCAAGTGGAGACCACATCTTTTGTTTTTGCTATACTGTGATCTAAACTGCGTTGATTCTTAAGAAACCAAAATATTACTGAAAGAAGGCTGGCAGAACACAGTGAATTTTTTTTTTTTTTTTGGTACCAGGGATCGAACTCATGACCTCACACTTACCAGGCAGGTGCTTAAGCCACTGAGCTAAATCCCCAGCCCCTACAAGTGAATTTTTCATTATAGGAGAAAATATTAAGTGACATATTGGTTGGTTTTTTTCTTGATTGTCAACTTCCTGGGCTGAGTAAAAAGCTTGGAAATCCAGATTTTTGGTCTTGATTCTGCCACTAATTGGTAGAATTCTAGAGCAGGTTATGAGAACCTCCCTTAGTAGTTGACAGTTTTAAGACACCAGCAATGAAATACAACCATTATGACATTCCATGAAGTGGTATTGTTCTAAATTAAAAAACAAAAAGAAAAAAGGGTAAGAACCATTTCCATCTCTACAAAAAACCTTTATGTTACGCTTTCCTAGCCACGCCCACTTTCCTGCCCCACCCAGTCCTCGGTAACCCATGGCAGCCACTAACAGTATCTTCATTTCTGTGCTTTGGTTATTTCAAGAGTGTTCTACAATTAGAACCATAAAAATGTAATCTTTGAGAATTGGCTTTTTTTCACTCAGTCATCTTTGGTGATTCATTCCCTTGCATGGATCGACAATCTGTTCCTTTTATTGCTGTGTAGTACTCCGTGGTGATACAGATATATCAAGTTGTTTATTTGTGCACTCAGTCAAGGACATGGGGGTTATTTTCAGGTTTTGGCTGCTGTGAATAAAGCTGCTATGAATGTTGTGTAGTGGTTTTTTTGTGTGTGTGTGAACATATGTCTTCATTTCTCTGGGATAGTAGTTGCATGTTCTATTTTTCTTTTTCTTTTTAAATGAAACTCCCAAACACCTCTCTATAGTGTTTGTAACATTTTACATTCTCACCACTGATGTAGCAATGGTCCACTTTCTTCACATTCTTTCCAGCATTTGGTGTTACCTCTGCTTTTCTTTTCCTCAGCCATTCTGGTGTGTAGTGATATCTCACTGTAGTTTAAATTTATATCAAGTGGCTCTGACATAGGACAGCGCTTCATCATATGGTAATTTTCTGTGCATCTTCTTTAATGAAATCTTTCTTCATTTTTTGGTGCACATTCTAATTTGACTGCTTTTTTTTTGATGTTGAATTTTGAGAATTCTTTATATATTTTAGATAGTAGTCCTTTTGGGGGGGAGTATGTAATTTGTGAATATTTCCTCCATCTGTAGCCTGCTTTTAAATCCACTTAACAGGATCTTTCACTGCGCAAAAAGTTTTAATTTTGACAGTCCAGATTGTCAATTTTTTCTTTTTTATGCATTATGCTTTTGGTGCCAATTTTACAAAATCTAGACTTCTATGTTTTATATTTATAATTCTTTAAGTTTTACTTTCAAATCTGTGATCCTTTGGTATCAGGTATGTGTGTGTGTTTTGGTTTTTGACTTGGTTTGGTTTGGTTTGGGGTTTTTTGCCTATGAATGTCCAGTACTTCTACTAGCATTTATTGGGAAGACTTATTCTCTATTTCTCACTGAACTGTTTTTGCAACTTTGTCAAAAACCAACTGAATCAGTGATCCACACCTCCTGTAACTCAAGTCAGTAAGGAGGCTGGCAAGCCCAAGGGGGTGAGGGTGGGGTCCCAAGTTCAAGGCCAGCCGGGGAAACTTAGCAAGATCCAGTCTCAAAATAAAATACACAAAAAGGTCTAGAGATGTAGCTCACTAGTAAGATACCCTCCTTTCAAAAAATATAATTGGATCTATTTCTAAATTCTCTGTTCTGTTCCATCAAAGTGTTTATTCCTCTAAAGCACATGGTCTTGGTCACTAAAGTAATATAATAACTCTTGAAATTAGGATTCACTGTCTCTTCTCATTTTATTAATTTTCAGAACTTTTAACTACTCTAGTTCCTTTGCTTTTCACACAAGTTTTAGAACAATCTTTTCTTTTTTGTGCTGGGGATTGAACTCATGACCTTGTACTTGCCAAGAAGGTACTTGCACTGCTGAGCTAAACCCCTGGCAGAGCAATCTTATCTACCTACATAGAGCAGTGATGGAGAACATTTTAGAGACCAAGTGCCCAAATTGCAACCCAAAACCCATTTATTTGTCACAAAATTCCAGTACTGCAATTAAAACCCAATACTGAAGTTTTAATTTAGAAAAAATAATTCATACATAAAAGAAAAACAATAACAGAGCTTCCAGTGATAAACACAGCTTGCTGAGGCACATACACCCTAGGTTCAACACTGCTGGCAGAAAAATATCTTTTGAGAGTCTGATAGAAATCTTATACCTGTGTATTAGTTTGGAGAGAACTGATTTTTTTTGTACCAGGGATCAAACTCATGACCTTGTGCTTGCAAGGCAAGTGCTTGAGCCACTGAGCTAAATCTCCAGCCCTAAGAACTGATATTTTATAATGTTGAGTCTTCCAATCCAAGAACATAGGAAATCTTTCCACTTAATTATGTTTTCTTTAGTTTCTCTCCTTGGTGTTATAGAACTTTTGACATACAAGCCTTATTTGTACTTTATTCATTTTACTTTAAAGCTTTATTGTTTTTGTGGTCCTCGGGATGGAATTCAGGAACTTTTGTATGCTTAGATAAGAAGTCTACCACTGAGTTACATCCATAGCCCTTAAAATTTTTTCAGTCTCTCATTATTAGGCCAGGATGGCCCTGAACTTCTGGGCTCAAATGATCCTCCTCCCTCAGTTTCCTAAGTAGTTGGGATTACTGTTATGCATCGCTTCAAATATGTTTTTGTTTTGCTTTGTTTCACAAGGTCTTGCTCTGTAATGTAAGCTGACCTTGAACTCTCTATGTAGCTCAGGCTGGCTTCAAACTTACAGTGATCTTCCTGCCTCAGCCTCCTGTGTGCTGGGATTACAGGTGTGTGCCACCATACTCAGTTGGGGCTTGGTGACTTCAACTGATGGAACCAGCTTTACAGCCCTGAAA